GTGTTACGAGTTGAAGAATTCGCGCAAAGCACGAGATTTCACGTAACTTCGTGCCTGTCGCATCGTGATAACGTTGCCGAGTTATCGCGGCTATCGCGACGGAGGATGCGAGGAAACGTTCTGACCAATTACACCGGTGTGCGATGCCACACGAGATTAGATTTCACAATGGCAAAAAAAAAAAAAAAAACCTAATTGCCGCGACAATTAATAGCTAATCGCCCCGAGGAAGCGATACACGCAATCGAAGATGTGACATCCGGCGCGTTTCACCGCGAAATTTTCACGCACATCTTTTTATGCGCCGAAAACGTGACGAATGAAATATGACGCGCAAATATATACGTCGCGACGTCGAGAAATATTCGACTCGGAGAAATGTATATTATTATCTGGTAATTGCTATTATTAAATTTGCGTTCTGGCGTTATATTCGTTTAAGAGCACAAGCTTATAATTATTGCAATCGCGGCGCGTGTTATTATATTGCAATTTTTCCAAGCGAAAAGAATACGCAAAACAAGCGCGTTGCAGAGACGTAGTTTCAGAAAAAAAAAAAAGAAAAAAAAAGAACTTTGCTCGCGCGTGAAAAAACTCTCAATCTTTTTTGTCACATACGCGCGCTTAAACTCGCGGAAACGGAATAGCACGCGTGCAATTGCCGCAGTCTTCTTGATGGAATCACTGCAATTATTATTTGTAACCCTCGTAATAATTCTCTGATTACGTCGCGCGCTCAACAAAGCGACACGTAATCACAGAGTGCTTGAGATAATGAAAGATTCGTCCCGCACAGACGTCTGTGTTGACATTCGCATCTTCCGCGATACAAAATTGCAGCTGTCGAAACTGTCATGTGTGTCACCGCGTCTCCTCTCTTGACCGTAACTACTTCCGCGATTTCGTTCGAGTCTTATCGCTCTTTAATTGCTTAATGTGCTCTTTAAAGTTTCTTTTATTACACACTGTGTAAAATTGCCGACTTCTCGCAAAGAAGAAAAGATCGTCGTCGCGCGTCACGGCCACAGACGACGAAAGGCTCGCGGTGTCGAATTTCGCGATATCCCGGCGACATTACGTCGGGACAGGATGGAAATTGTTTTCTGACTCGAGTCTGAATCGAAGTCACAGAAGCCTCTCGGTGAAATTTATGCCAGAGTCCGCGCGAATTTGTGGTCGCGCGTTGCGCAACGAAAAACACGAGCGAGGCTCTCACAAGAGCGAGAAACAGAGGGAGAAAGGCGCGCGCGAGCGATTACGTCGCTTGTAAGCGAAAAGATCGAAAGAAGAATTTCTCCTCGTCTTGTTGTCCCGATTAGATTAGGTCATGACGACCAATGCTGAGACGCTGATTACGTGCGGTGTTGCGCCCTCGTGTTTTCTTCTTTACTCGCGACGAAAGTCGCTTCATGCGAACGTTACATTCTTCGTCGCGAGACAATACTATAGCAGTAAGCTTTCGAGATGTTTAACTGGAATTCAATCTGTGAGCTAAATCAACTTTGAGAATTATTCATTAAGAGAAAGAACTGATGAAAATGATGTTGCAATGCTCTTTCTTATTAAAATATCTGATTGATGACGGAATCGTGGCCTGAAAATATTCTAAACAAAGTTTAGAACAAGAAGAATTACGCAAAAACGATCGAACTCGCACGTTTCAATCGTAATCGACCTTCGTTCAAGATCTCGCGCGACAAGGTGTGTCTTTTCCGCAATTTTGACGAACGAGAGATCAAATCGAATTGCGGAGATCGACGCGCGCGCATTCGTTTGTGTTGGGAAAACGCGCGCGTTGAAAAATGAAGCGTTTCCGCGGAAAGGACAGAACACACGCTTTCTGAACAATTAGTCACGGCAGCGCGACCTGCCGTAGCCCGCGTGAGAGAAAAATTCGCGAGGATGACGCAGGTGTCAATAAAAAAATTTTAAAAATATTAAAACCAGAGAGAGAATTTTGTGAAATTTTTTGCGGAAAAAGTGCACAAAGTTTTATTACAAAAGTTTTATTTTTATTACAAAGTTTTATCACAAAGTTTTACTACTAAAGTGCACAAGATTATTACAAAATTTTATTACAAAAATGATAAAAGATTAAGATCGACAATGGTCGCGCGACTTTGACGGGACATTATTATTCGCGCGATAAAACCTTTCCGCACGTCACTTAACGATTTGATTTTGCGATCGTAAACGGCATATTATTTATTCGCGCTGTGAAACAACAGCAACCGATGATAAGATATTATTTTTATGTTCCGAATTAATTTGTATATAAATTGCAAACGCTCGATGGTCCTTTCAATGTACGGTGCAACGTCGATTCGAATGCGTGGCAAGACTTTACACAGTGTAAACAGGTAAGAGAAAGAGAGAAAAAGAGTGAGTGAGAAAGAAAGAGGAAGAAAGAAAGAAAGAAAACGCGCGGGAGACGTACAGGAAGTGGTACAGCATTGCCGCAGGGAAGGACGCCGAATCTGGGCCACAATTACTGCGGAGGCCGGCGCGTTGCGTCTCTTTCCTCTCGTGCGAGTTGGCGCCGCGGTTACATACTTGTACTCTCGCTTTCGAAATAATAATTATTTAATATCCCCGAAACGAGCGCCCCGGTGAAATGCGAGATTCAACCGGGAAGAAGAGGGAGAGAAAGAAATTGAGAGAAAGAGAGAGAGAGAGAGGGAAAGAAAAAAACCGGTTTTTTCTCAGCCCATCTCGTAACAGCTTCCGAGAGCATAGCGGCGGAAATAATGTAGTTTGCTGTTTGAAATAAATATCCATATGCATGCGAACAAAGAGCTCTAAGAACAGTCTGCGACTCGACGGTCGCAACTTTGTGCGTTATTTTTATTTTATTTTTTTGTAGTTTTTTTTTTACAGTTGATAAAAAAAATGATATCGAATTTATTTGGAAAAATTATCGGCATGTGATTAGCGGCAATTATTAGAAATCAATGTCGACGACAAGCCGCTCGATACGCAAGAGATCGGAGGTAATTGCTAAATGGACACTTGAGTGTGTCTCTACTTCTAAGACATTCATTACAGAAGTAGGGGAAAGTAATGGACAGCTCGCGCACACACAAAAGCAGAAAGATCGAAAGTAAGTAGCAGCCGAGCTACTTCTGTATGTGCCAGCGCGCAACTCTCGGAAACGATACAGAGATATGTCGTTTACAAAATTGTTCACCAATAGCAAAGTCAGTATAGCAAAGTAGATAATAAAGCGTTTGCGGTAAGACGGTTTATACGCGAAGTTCGCGCGTGACTCATTGAACGCGACCTATCAATGATCACGAAGAAAGCTTTGGTGCGGCACACAGCAGCTGCTCGCGAGGAATGCGAGAGAACACTGTGCAACATTCCGCGCGATCTGTCCATATTCGATCCCACAACAGGTTTCGAATTATATCCTCGCTCTTTTCGTTGCATTCCGTCGCTCGCGAGCGCTTTCGCGGTTTATTTTGTCCAATCTCGCTCGAAACTAATTGACTTATTTCTCACGAGAGAACGAGAAACAGAAAAACATATATTAGATTTCTCGATTTTCGAGTCGAATGGCCTTCGTAAATTTGTCTCGCGACTATGTAGGACTTGTTTCGTGATGTATCGAGATATAAATGTGAAATTATATTTAAAAAAAAAAGTAAAATCGAGATAAAATTGTGGAATTACATAGAAAAAATAAAATTAAGAGAAATTGATTATTCCAATTTTCATTAAAAAAAAAAAAAAAAGAAAAGAAACGCAACGAGCGTTTTGATGTTTGCTCTCCTGAAGAGATTTTATTTGCATATCATTTTTCTGTCCCGCGACTCTGCAAGTTTTTCTTGCGGAACAAATAACAGTACATGCGCGCGGTTTCCGCGCGGGTTTACGCGTACCACGTCGCCGGCTGACAAATCCCAAAACGAATTAACGTGCTCTTCCTGTTTGCACCAGCAGAGAGTGCACTTAAAAAGACTAGTTGGCGCCGAGTGTTGCATGTTATTTTCCACTGGCGAGATCGGTGAAAGCGCAACTATCAATCGGCCGCTCGACGTGATAACGGTCGCGAGGACACTTACTGATGGTAGCAGCCGGTATCCTTGAGCTCGTCTCCTCGACGCAGGATTGGCACCCGCGTGACGTAATCCCTCGTGTTCAATAAGACACGGATACACACTCACGGATGACATAACATCGCTGCGCCCTCGTTGCATAACGGAACTCGAACTAGAAAATCAAATAACAACCGCGTTGTGCGTTTCGGGACCGAGTTTGAAAAAGGTCATTTGAGAAATTGGCGAAATGTCACGATGATAAAAATATATATACGCATACCAGCGTGTCATACACACACAGAAACGTATATGTTCCGGCATTCATCGCCAGTGAAAATCTACTAGAAATCTATAGCACATGTGAAATATAAATGGATTTTTAGCGGTAGTGAATATCGGAAGCCTTTAATTTGCATAAGTTGCGAAATGAAATCTCGTTTCGAGATTATATTATTTTGTTTTTCAAAGAACGATCGAGATTATATCATCGAGATGTCCGGCGCGTCAATCGAGCTTTATCTTCCTGTTTTTCATTGTATCATAAACTTTGTATCATTGCAAACTACGAGGTGCGAATAATAATGCAAATAATCATGATTATAGCAACCGCGTCATCCAAACGAACAAAGATACGGAAATACATCAAAATTACTGACATTGATTTTATCTCACATTACGGTTCGTCGTGTGTCTCACTCTGCAGTTTTCTCACATCCGCGCGCGCGCCAGCTCCATAACAATCGACTTGCAACAACATCTCCCATAAATTAACTTCCGCTCGTAACAAAATCTTTTGAAGAGATCGTGCCGCAAAAAAAAGGGTGAATGAAAGAGTGAATAAAAAATTTTTTATTCATAGCGGCGACGTGAACAAACTACGAAGTCAGTTGGTTTGCGGGCTTTTGTCTCACCGTGCGAATATAAACGATTAATGTGTCCTTGTGTGCGGGTGTTTTGCAGGATGAGGAGGAGCGGCATGAACAGACGAGCGAACAACGGCGAAGGAGCCCTGATCCTGCTCCTCGTCGCATTGACTCCTGTTATCTGCTCCGCCGGAATCCTGGACCCTTGGACTCAGTGGGCGCGTAGCGATCAGATCGAAGTCAACTTACCTTGGTTGCGACCTTGTAATTATTTTTTCACATACTTTAGATAAATATTCTCATTTTTATGCGGTAAACAAAACGTGATCACACATTTATATACTTTATATATTTTTTTTATTTATTTTTTTTCAACACCTGTATGTTTTTTTAGGTAAATATTACGAATTTTTTTCATGGATAAGATAGACATAATCCGCATGTGGACGTAATCGAATAAAGTAAAATTGTATGAAAAAAAAACGCGTGAAAAAATAAAACTCACCATCTTTCAGTCTTGAACGAAACGCGCTGCTACGGCGATCTGGGTTGCCTGAACATCACCAAGAGCTGGTACCATATTATACACCGACCTCTCAACGTCTTCCCTTTGTCGCGAGAGATCATCAATACCAGATTCATCCTTTACACGAATTACAACCTCTTGGACGTAAGTGACGAATAGGCTGTAGCCTAGAGGCGGCGTCGAAAGTCACGCCGGGTGTAACGTAAAAGTGAAACCTCTCCATACAAAATAGATTAAAATTCTCCTCCATGAAATTTCTCGGTTGATATTCGATACCGTAAAAAATACTTCCGCGTGCGTAACCGCGTGTGTATTTTAAAATTGCACCGAGAGAATTCAATCTTACAAATAATACTTACATATCTCAGAAACGTGAGAGACATGCCGCGATTTTAACGACCGCACGTGAATATCTTAACTTAATAAATTAAACGGGATTGCGGGCGGCGTTCCGCGGGGCCGCGGTGAATGCTCCGCGCGCTTCGCTAACTCTCTTGTGCATTTTATAAACAGATAAGATCTCTGATTAATAATTCAATGGATTCCACGAGGAAACCCGCTGCGAAAGAAATATCGAACGCAATATCAGCGGCGTAAAACGTGGTGAAAACGTGCGTAAACGCATTGCTCCGACTCGAATAAATTCACATAAAGCTGAATGGCGATAAATGAAAGAGAAAAATAATTTCGCGCTGTGAATTCTATCAACAAGATTAATATGCGATTTAAATCTATACTGTAATCTTCTAAAGTGCAAAAAATTGTGACAAAATATCACGTTTGTCATTTAAATCTGTTTTATTTCACGCAAATTCTAGTAAAAACACATTCGTGTGCACTGTACAATTTTCGAAGTATGTAAATGGATGTGCTTTCTAGAAGAATCATCGGTTTTCATCACATCAATAATTATTACTAAGCCATTGAATTACTAGTGATTGCGTCTACTTTAATATCTTGCATATCCATCGGTCTTTCCAGGGTCAAATATTAAACGTGGCCAAGGATAAATCCATCGAAAATTCGAACTTCAATTCTAAGAGAAAGACCAAGTTTATTATACACGGTTTTATAGACACGCCACTCAGCAACTGGGTTAAGGTGAGTTTTTTTTACTTTCTTGTATTGACTCATTATTATTTTGAAACAAAACTTTTGTGTCACTTCGCACTTGTATTACCTTGGATCACAATCGCACGTTATTAGTCGCACCTATTTTTATTTCGATTCTCTCTCTACTCATGATATCTCCGTTTAAAAGACGAATCTATAAATTTATAAAAACGAGATGTTTGTGTTACAATAAATTAACGAATTTCAACGAGCACACACGCAGTCGTCGCATCTGAGAGCAATCTGTGATGACTCTCTTCAGCTGCGGAGACGACGAAGATTTATATATATCCGCATTTATTCTCGGAATAAATATAAATCATCCGCAGGAGATGCGAAGCGAGCTGTTGGCGCACGGAGACTACAACGTTATCGTGGTCGATTGGGCGGGTGGTAGTTTACCCTTGTACACCCAAGCAACGGCGAACACAAGACTGGTCGGGCTTGAAATAGCTCATCTCATTAAGCACTTGCAAGTAAGAAATATTACGCAAGTCAAGATAAAAGAATTCAAGAATTCTGAATACGCGTTAGTTAGTCAAGACAATTAACACACGCGTCACCTCGACTTAATTGAGAGCGGTGTAAAATATTATTCACTTCAGTAATTTACAGAGAGATGACATTTGATAAGAAATAATTTTTTCTCTCATTGAAATAAATAATTTATATAAAATGAGTATTTTTAATATTTTTTTAATTGTTCAGGAAAATCGATTTCTATGTCTGTCTACTTTTATTCTGAACACAATGTAGACCAAGTACGGCGTCGATCTGAACGACGTACATCTGATCGGGCATAGTCTCGGGGCTCACACGGCCGGATACGCGGGCGAAAAATTGAACGGCAAAATCGGACGTATCACCGGTTTAGATCCCGCGGAACCCTACTTTCAGGAGATGCCGAGCCACGTTCGCCTGGACTACACGGACGCCCGATTTGTCGACGTAATTCACACAGACGGAAAGAGCATCTTCTTTTTAGGTAAGCGATGCACGACGCACGCAATGGACAATATCGTAAATCAGTTCGCTGTGAATCAGAGAGTAAAGATAAAAACAGGAATTTTAAGAGAACTTGAGAAACAATGTGGGAAGGATTTTATATATCAAACATGCCTTTTGTTTTCAAACAAAAAAAAAATAAATAAAACAAAAACATCTTTCGAAAGATGAGCTTTCTTTTTTTTTACAACAACAGCAATCTTTTGTGTTTTTTCCTTCATTCGCACGCATCTGCTTCACCGAGACTCGAGATCATCTTAAATTCTCCTCGACCGAGGTGAATTTAAGCAACGCATTTTTATCGCACCGCCGCAAGCCGTTCTCCATCGTTCGCATCACGTTGTTCAAATTAACGTAATACACAAGGCCTTCTAGGGTACGGAATGAGCCAACCATGCGGCCATCTGGACTTTTATCCGAATAACGGCAAGGAGCAACCTGGGTGCACGGATCTGAGCGAGACTACGCCGTCGTTGCCGCTCACTCTGATACGCGAGGGTCTTGAGGAAGCCTCGCGTGTTCTTGTCGCTTGCAATCACGTGCGCGCGCTTAAACTTTTCATCGAGAGCATCAACTCCAAGTGCCAATACGTCGCGCACGAGTGTTCGAACTATTCCAGCTTCCTGCGGGGCGAGTGCTTTTCCTGCAGGAGCAACAACAGCCTGAGCTGCGCAACGATGGGCTATCACGCGGACAGCAGCCCGGCGCTGATGAAGCGCAAGGAGATGGGACAAGACGTCACGTCCTTGATAGGCTCCAAGTTCTTCCTCAAAACCGGCAAGGAAGAGCCTTTCTGCAGTAAGTAACACAAACGTTCGTGAAGCATCGACGATGTGACGCTTGGTTGATTTTATCTATTCTCTTTCAAAGTTGTATTGAAAATTGTGACATACACACACACAAACAAGGATTGTGTAAACTTGGTTATAATTTATGTCAAGATAAATTTTAATTCGATAACATAGACAGGCAGATAAAATACGCGTTGACAACACTTTCTCTTCCGACTTGTAGACAAATATCAAGATATTCGTAAATATCCTGATCTTATAAAAGACGCGCGAGAGAAGTTTATTTTTGAGAACGAGGCACGTGGCTAAATTATTCGCGTAAATTTGCATATTATTCGTGTATACTAAGCCTTCGCGTCGTATTTTACAAATTCGTACTACTGTCGAATGTCGATGTAGTGGCGAGCAAATTCGTAATTTGTGTTCTGATGTCAATTGCGAAAAAAAAAAAATTGCACGTGAGACATTCAGATGCAAATAGGTGTGCGGAAAAAATGTTTTGTTCGAATAGCAAGATTAGTTACTGTGGCAAGAGAAACAAATGTGCTGCATCTATTAAATTTGTTGGTTTGTCAACAGAACATCTAGTTAACGAAATAAAAAAATCAGTAGCAAATTTTTTTTGCTGGTCGTGTAATAGCAAACTTTTTTTCTGTGTGATATTTAAAACCACACGTTAATAAGCGACTGTCTCGACGTTCTCGCAATTAAGGTGTGCAACGATAAACTGATAACTTTCCCGATAGTAACACTTAAGACGAACGTCCACTAATTAAGCTTCTCTTTTGTTACAATGACGATCACTGCTTTCAGCTCGACGTTTATTATCAAGCGAATGAGAAATATCGCGCTTGCGCTTAAAAGTGTTCAAACGCGAGTGTTAAATAAATCCGATCGAGAGGTTGATTGGATCTCTATCGCGCCAGGCTATTCGTTAATTCTTTGCTCGCGTCGAGAAAAATATCGCTGCACAGTATATTTCACTGTAGCGCGGGCGATACACGCGCAGCAGCTTTTCTCTACCGCGCGCGAGATGCGACTTTCTCTCCCTGGAGAGCCGCGCGTAATAAAAGCCACAAAGAGACGGCGACGCGTGTCTCTCTCGCAAATACATTATCTCTCCTTGATATAGATCGTGTAATCGTCTTCTAGGGAGGCATTACAGAATCACCATCAACCTCGCAAAACCACCGACTGCAGAGAGCTGGGTGCAGGGATTTATGAAAGTCACTCTTCACGCCGACAAAGGCGTGATACGCAACATGGATCTCACGCCGAGGCAAGTAGACAGTCGTTCCGGGAGTATATAATCGTTATCGCCTTGCGAGTAACCCACATTCGCGCTCAGATCACAAGAGCTATTTAATTTCACGCCCGATCGTAAACTGCGCAAACGAACCCGACACGCTCGCATCGATTGCGTTCTCTATGTTGTAAATTATTTGCAACCGCAAATTATTTACACGGTAAAATTTTCTAACGAGTTTCCTTTCTCGAGGCGTGCATCGCTTTGCTCGAGATTCGACATTTCGCGCGGAAACTCCTCAAACGGTTGTTCCTTCCAGCAGCGGTTACATGAAATTGGAACACGGCTCGACCGTGCGAATGGTCGTGACCCATCCGACCGGCTCGATCGGCAGCATCGGCAAGGTCAGGCGAGTCGAGCTCTCCTGGGTGTACGACATGGACGTGCTGCAGCCTAGGTCTCTGTGCATCCTCTGGTGCAACGATCGACTCTATGTCAACAGCGTCAGCGTCGACGCCATGGATCTGCCGAGCAGAGGGTGAGAAACGGAGCGTCTCAAAAGTGTGACGGTCCACATATACATCAGTAATAAAATTCGTCATTAGCGCTAATTTCGCTAATTCGTCAAATGAATTGTTCGTTTTGTTAAGGAAACGGGAGGCGGATTTCTCCAGCAAGCTCTGCTCGACCAGCACGCAGGATTACGCGGAGATCGCGAGCGGATCCACAGCTTTGTTCGTCGACAATTGCTGATGACGGTCCATTCCGTGTTCAGTCAAAGCTATTCAGGTGGTAATTATAAAATGCCCGCAGCCGGAGGCGATTCTCGAAAGCCGGATGACGATGACGAAGCAAAGTGGAAGAATCGCGTAACTTACCCTCCGTAATCTCATATTTCCTTTTGCTGATGACATGTCATAGCGCGAGACATTCGCGCGAGCGCGCGTACACACGCACTTTCTTTCCTTCTATTTTGTTTCGCGAACCCCACTTTCTTTTTAACGCGCCGCGGTCCGACGACGCGCTAATTAATGCCTCGATAAACTCGAGCCGAATTATCCTAATTCTCGCGGACGACCGCGATTCGCCTAATCGAGTTCCTAGAGATTCCGTCTTCGTTTGTCGGCGAAAGATTGATAATCTTAATTGCGCGTGATGCGCGATTGCTAAAAAGTCCCGTTCGTTAAAAAAAATAAAAATTCTTAGGAAGTCGAGCGCGTCCAGTTCGCGCTCGCGGACTGACGAAATTGGACGAGCACGAAGTGAGAGTCTCTGAACAGAAAAGTCGGACTTTCTGTTTCTTTTCTTTTTTTTTTTTTTTTTTTTTTNTTTTTTTTTTTTTTTTTTTTTTTTTGTAATGTATAATCATTTCTTTAGTATTAGTATTCATCATATGTTATTATGTACATGATGTATATAACATTTAAGTAATCTCTCTCTTAAGACTTTCTTTCGGATGTGATCGCCGCTAGAGCTTTCAGTGATTGCTTATTTTAAGGCTCCCGTTCGGCCATCAGGGTGGCTCTTACGAAACTTTTCGGGATCGATTTCGAGACTTTTATCTCTAATTTTTTTTTCCTTTTTTCTTTTTCTTTCTCTCAAAAAGAAAGAGAAATAGAACGAATCAGTAATCGAAATCATCTTCGATCGAAAAATCGATTTCGAATAGTTTCATAACAGACACCCCCGCATCTATGTATTATACACATCGACACACATGTTTTTCTGTTTTATTTGTACGATGATTGTTAACTATCATCATATTGTCTTTCGCGAATACCAATATATATATATATATATATATATACATGTATATGTATATATATACATATATGTACGATAAGAGCTTGTGATATTCTCTCGTAACATAGGAACCACGAAGAGTGCGCGGAATACATTAACGACAATTGCGTATAACTCTGCTAATAATTTTTGCTCTTATAATCTTTACAAATGAACTGTACAAAACATGTAATGGAAGGCAAGTTTCGTTAGCGTAAGAAGAGTATTCCGGATTGTTTTTTCTTTTATATATATATAGTATTATATATATATAGTTTATATATATATGACTGTTTTGTAAATTGTTACAATGTATAAAATAAACGTTAGTTGCGAATACTCTGTGACGCGAAAAAATAAATGGATATATTTGTGTGCAAAAATAGAATTTACGTGTGACGTGTGTATGTGTGTGTGTGTGTGTGATTGTGACTTCGAAGTGAGGTGTGTGCGTTTTTGGAGATCTCGGGGGAAAATCGAAGAAACACACACTTACCACTACAGCTTTGCTAATCTTTCGCAGTGTTTTTACTCCTCTCTCGATTGAAACGCTTTTACACGTTCATCATATCCGTTGCTTATACAAAAAAGACACGCGAGGCGCAGCTATACACGGTAACATATGGATTCTGCTTCATCTTCTTCATCTTTTTTTTTTCTTTTTCTTTTTTTTTTTTTTTTATTTTACACGAGATTCAACAATGTTCGAGTAAAAAAGCCGTCCACGTTTGTTCGACGCGGTAACAAGGGATTGGTAAAATATATATGGTATATATATATATAGCGTTATACGTAATATAATCTAATAATCTCTAATCTGTCATATAACATATAGAATCTTTTATATAAATAATAAATAGAAAATAAAGGGAGCCAGGGTTTTGTTGTGATTTTGAGATTAGCTTGGTAAGACTTCAGCACTCTAAATTACCGTTACGAAGAACATTTACGTAGGACTATGAGGAGAGGAGGGAATTGGGGGGGAATGATGATAATCGATGGAGAGAGGCGAGAAATCGGACAAACGAGAGAAGAGAAGAGTGAAAGATAAATCGAGAAACAGTGAGAAGAGAGAAATAACTAACAATAGAGACGTGACTATACAGCTGATTCATTTGGCATAATAGTCTAGAGCGGACTTCTTTTCTAGCGCGGTAGGATGCGGTCAGTTAAGATTCTCGACCCAAGCGGTGTCTAGTGACTCGATGAGAGTACGGACGAAGGCCATCTCCTTCCGTGCGTTCTCTAGGATTACCCGGGGATCTTGGGACGTGCATCGCAACACATTCGGCGCCATCACCATCGCGAGATTGTTGGCGTCCATTTTAGTACGGGCGACCACGTCGGATCTAGCGAATATCTGCAAAGTCATTTCAATCGTCGTGGCAGGATACTCATTTCGAAAACGAATTTCAATCGACCATAAACACACTTATCTCGTCCGAGTAAAAACTGTTTCGCTATAAATAGAATAATCGTTCTGGACTCAAAGAAGAAGAATAATCGTTTTGGACTCAAAGCAAGAAAAAAATTGATTCTGTACGATTGACATTGATAAAATGATCTCATTAAACTCCGAGTGGAATGAATAAAACGGTCCTCTTACCTGTAGGAAGCGTATTAGATGACACAGCACACGACGGTTAAGATCTGGCAAACGGTCGACGAGCTTAGCCACGTTGGCCGCAGACGCTTCCGGGTCGTCATGCCGCATAGACACGCATTCCAAGTAGAAGGAATCCGGTATCAACGGTTCGTACAGCTCGCGCACCCATAGCTTCAGCAGAGATGCCGGCGCGTGAGCGTCCTGAGAAGTTGCCATTATAGCGCCGTCCTCGAACCTATCCAAGCAGGATTTCAACGCGCTGACCTCGTCCGCGTCCGCGGATACTCGGAAGATACCCTCGGTCACCGTGCCGCCACGCACCAACACCTGACGTGTCAGCGTGGTCTGTATCCATGGTAACTGTTTATTCGGGAAGCGATCCCTTTGTAAAGCCATGACTTCCGAGAGTGTCGCGCCGAACATAGACGCGCGGAAGATCTGTGTCTACGAGAAAAACAATGTCGGATGTTATATTTTCAACATGAAATTATTAGATTCTATATTTGAACGATATGTGCAAATTAATAATCACCCTCGCTTGGTCGATATCCTCCATTGTAGCCTTACGAGGTTGTCGTTTGCCGTGCGCGCCGATCCGCTGCAATCGCCTGCAGGCTACAGTGGCGTAATGACTGACTTGCACGTGTATCGGCCACTTGGCGACCTCTGGGAACTGGAAGTTGGGATCGCGATGCCTGTTCATGTAGCCTTCCAGGTAAGGCTCGAACGTTGCGCTAGGCGGCACAAAAGCAAGACACACAGCCATTAATTCCCATCCGCGTCGCAGACTTTCCTTCCGCGGATTCTCCGTCGTCTGTCGGCAGATCTGAACATATAGTTCGTCACGCAAGGGCGGCTTTGAAAACGCGGTGTTCACGATATCCATAGCGACACCGTCCAGCGTCATGCCGACGTTAGCCTTACGATCGCCCATGTACACCTGGACCAATCGGAACAGATTGCAGGCTTCCCTTTTGAGAAGCTTCTCGCCGTCCACCATAGCAAGCATGGGCTGAGGTATCGGATCTTTCGACCAGCTGAGAATATCCCGCACACTGAACTTCTTTCGAAATAACAACCGCAATCCCTTTGGTCTACCGCAGTTCAGATTGAGATTGTCCTGCGCGTATTTCTCGATATCGCCACCGCCCGTACTGTCGTCCCTCCGCGCCTCGTCCAAGTCAGTGTTGTCGACGTTCGTTGTACCGATACTTGGAATCGAACTCACGGTGGGCATCGAGACTTGTCTGGTGGTCACCACACTATCTCTCGCTTCTATTTGAGACACGATATTTGGCGGTGAAGGTGGCCGCGCTTGTGGCCTTGTCAGGGTGTCAGCTGTGGTGTAATAAGTCGCCAAGCCCGCAGTGTCGTAGTTTCCTAAATCTAAGACGAAAAGAAAGTTAACGATCGTATGTTCGATAAACACGCGCGTATTACGCGTATTATGGTTTCAAGAACGATTTCTCACCCGCATAATGATCTTCGAGATATTCTTGACTGGAAGAGTCGCCTTGATTGCTAGCTGCTTCATCATCAGCAAATTGATCATCAGAATCGTCATCGCCTCTTCCGCTGATACCTTCGCCCCTGCCACCTTCCTCGTCCAGAGAATCTTCCCCTTCCTCTACTAACAAGGGATCTCCGAACTTGTAACAACCTTGTAAATGACAAAAACAAAAACAATAATGATAAAATGTATAATTGTCGCAAATCCAAAATGTTAGAGAACTTTTCGTCATTTACCTGATAATTTCGCTTGTTGAAGAATATAATGCTGTAACGGTAATAAGTGATCAGCATCGGCCAAGAGGTTGCCGTAAAACGGCGACGGCGGCGGACTTGGATTTCCGTTGCTTCTCTTCTTCTTACTGTCGTCTCCTTCGGCGTGACCTTCGGTTTCCTCACCCGCCGCGCTATTGCTACTGCTGTTACTACTGTTACTACTACTAGTGTTACTGCTAAGTCTCTGCCTAGACTGTTCGTGAGTCTGGCTTATCATCAGGTAACGCTCGTGCATAGCGTCGTCGTCTCGCTCTCTCCTCCTGGCCTGCTGTTGTTGCTGCTGTTGTTGCTGCTGCATTTTCTGCTGCTGCTTTTGCTGCTGCACAAAACTGTAACTGCGACCCAGTGGTTGAGGCACACCTTGCAAAATAATAATCACTCATATGCATTGCAAAATATGACAGGTACAGGAAGATGACGAAAGAAACAAAGAGAGATTATCTCGCTTACAGTCCAGTGAGTTATTGCACGCTGTGTTTCGCCTGTACTCCTTCTCCCTCTCGCGTTCCCTCTCTCTTTCGCGCTCCCGCTCTGCTGCTTCAAGACCGCTTCTCTGCTTCGACGTATTACCGTGTACGCCAGCAACTCTGCCGAGGCTCTTCGCGGGATCGTTTCTCTCGGACAGCATCGCACCGTAAACGTCTCTGACATTAGCTTCCGACAACGATGCCGAACATCCGTGATGCCGCCTACCTATGCTACCTGTACTATCTTGCGGCTGCTTGTTCATGTTTCTCGAATGCATAGAACTGGGATAAAAGGAACCCTGCGGATTCGTCTTGTCGAGACTGTTTACCCGCTCCCGGTGATGCTGTTGCATCTCCCGTTCTCTATCCCTATGGTAACGATTGCCACTCTCTATCAAGGAACCATACTTCTCACTCTGCGACTTGTAACTATGGCTAAGCTGAACTTCCGGCGGACGATACGGCGGCATTTCCTGCCTGAAGACTCGAGATTCCATCAAAGAATCACGATATGGCGAGGTACTCGGCTCGGGACCGTACGAGCCTCTACTACTTTCTCTACCTGAAATACGTTTGAAATCGATGAGCACAAAATGCGAACGTGTGCGTTCAAAACTTTCGCAATACACAAACAAAACTCCGTCACGCGTGTTTACCATTTTTACTTTTGTCGAGGTCCAAGTTCCCTGCTCTCCCTTCCCGCTGTGGGTCGGAAAACGTTTTCTTTTTGAACAACGGCGTGCTGGTCGAAAGCGACAAACCTAACGGCGGTGGTTCTCCCATCGATACGGACTTCTGATTTTTCACGCTTTCCAAAGTGCCGCTTTTGTGACACCTGGCTTCCAAGGTGCCGCTGCCGTGCTGCCTGGGGGAGGATTGTGCGGTGCTCGCCGGGGTTTGCGCGGTCGACCGATGATGATGTCTGTGCGGCGAATCCAACAAACGATATCCGGTGGACTCCAGGGAAGTCCTGCTGTGCGAGACGGAACTGTCGCTGGATCTACCGGAATCCTGTGAGTGATTGTGTTGCCTGGTGCGTGCCGCGGGTACGTCATGGTGCCTGTGGTGCCTGTTATTGTGATGATGGTGATGATGATGATGCCGTCTCGCTGACGGAGACGGGGAGGGGGGAGAAGTCTGTAGATCGACGCCGACCGTGGAAGTTCGCGTTTTATTCGCGCTACCGAGAGAAAGAGCTTGCTACGAGAGAAAAATACAGTCATGCAACATCTCGAAATATCAACGTCGCGTTGAGAGAAATTGTTTGTTTGTCGTTCAGATAAATCAAATTTACCAGCGTGGGTGCCAAATTTGTGTTCTCCTGGTGATTAAATCGCGTGGATCGACTAACCGAGGGTGTTTGCGTCTGCGTCGAAACGGACTCCTTCTTTCTCGGCTCGATCGCCTTCTGCGTATCGGATGCACCACAGCTCGCAGGTTCCGTGTTCTGTTTTAACGTCTACAATACCAATATAACCGCACGTATAAACAAAGTAACGAATTTAGACGAGAAGTCGGCAAAATCTCCTTACGTACGATTCATATCAATGTGATATATCTTTTTAACCGTAGCGAAGAATAAAAAATGTATAAAAAGATATGTAACAATATAAAAAAAGACAATATAAAAAATATAAAACAACAGAAATACAAAAAAATACACATAAATCTGCGCTAATACTTATGCGCATTAAGAATGTCAAATGTATGTGACACATTTATGAACGTATAAGTGGGCGCCGCGGTAAAATACGTGACATAGAGCGCCGGATCGTCCGTATTTTCGTCGGGACTTCAAATGAACAAATAGCATTATCACGAAAAGAGGTTTCATGAGGTAGTAGAACGGTATAATGTAAACCAGAGTTTTTTCTCCCCGCGCTACAAACGTCTATTTATAGCTCGAGAAGAGAGCAGACGCGCTCTTGCACACTTATATCTCCACCACTTTAAAGATACACACAAGTTCTGTAATGTGCGTTACCCGGAGAAACTCACAAATCATTACACACATGCATAAACATACTACATACACACACAGATGCGCACGCGTGTGCACACGAAAGCGTCTGCTAAACGCACAGATTTTACTTTACGTATTTCTTGGGCGCAAGCACAGGTATCAATATAGGGTCCGATCTTATCTGCGCTTTGACATTCGATAGCCGGTCAAATATGTGACTCACGTATATAATAGCGAGCGTTATACGCCGGGAAACGTTGAAATCGTATCAGGAACCGGATGATATCGAGTGTGCGTTTCGTTTACCTGAAGTTTCGCCAACGGTATGATGTCACAGTCGGTCGGGCGGTGCCACACGGTTTTTTGAGACGTCGCGTTGTAATAGTAAAACCGTGAGGTGTTCTGATCGAATAATTCCCACCACTGGTTGTTGTCCGTCTTTTTCCTATAAAAAAAATTGTTAAACGCGACAAACGATAAACGCTGCGCGTCTCCGAAGAAGGTGACTCTTTCGCGAAGTGCTTTCTCTGAGATCAAACTTTCTCTAAAATAATTACAATAGAGCACGCTTGAAAATAATTGAATAATATAATAAAATGCGATTAAATTCCGAGCACACACATTTCCGAAACATATTACACTCGAGATTGTGCACACTATCAAATTGTGATGTTGCGATATTGATCTGAATTAGTTTCTGAAGAGTGGGATAAAAATCTCACACGTTGCTCTCTTATCGGTCGATTAGAAAATATAACAGGAATCCGTTCCACACACACAAGAAATGTTTTGAAAACCAATCCATTGTTACGTTACCGAGATATCTTGTGTGGGAATTAGCCGCTTTATTGAAAAAATAATATAACGCATGAAGAAAGGAGCTTACACAGGTACACCTGGCGGTGGATCCCATACGCATTCCCCCGTGGTTAGATTGGCATACATATGCTCCTTGGTGCGAGGTTCTATAATCTCCACCCATTCCATCCTACTGCAAATGTCATCCATTAGTATTTATTCCGAAAGAAACGCTCTCAGTGTCTTCTTCCTCTCTTACGACTATATAAATATCTCTTTCTCTCTTTCTCTCTCTCTCTCTCTCATCAAACACTAAAAATCACCGGTGACAAATTGTTTCAAGACCTTACGCAACTAAATCACTCTTTTCCCTTAAACTTTCACTTCTTACGAACTAACGCGGACTTCAAGGCAGTTTTTATCACTTTGCACAAACGGCGTTGCAAGCGGCACATGTAACTCGAGAACGCGATAAAATCATAAGGCGGGATCGATATGTCAAAAGCATCTCCGGCTGTGACCCGCGAACGGAAATATCGTTACGATGCGACGGGCAGCACCGCGATGACATGGTAGCTCCCATTTCTTTTTTTTCTTTTTTATTTACGTCCACTCGGTACGTCCCCAGCGCGAAAAACGTTACGCGATTTCTCTTCTCTCGGTGTTCTCGAAATCGGGGGTAAGAAGACGAAGGAGAAGGTGTAACGCGCGCGTCGCGACATCGAGTACGTCATGCATGTCAAATAAAGCGCAACGACGGGGAAGGCGATATCGAGGGGAAACTCGAATGAGACGAACGAGCGCGCAGACACACGATCGCACGCGGTTCCGAGAGAATCTCAGGGAAAAAAATCGCTCTTATCGCGGACAGACGAAACCGACGGACGTCGGAAGAAAAGCTGACAGAAGAAGAACAGAGAATTCCGAAGATTCGTACGCGACGATGGTCTTTCAACGTCAGGCCACCAGCGGGCCGATGACAATATCGGGGCGAGCGAAGGGTGTTTCGCCCGTCCACCCGTCCGTCCGTCCGTTCGTCCGCCCGCCCCGCCCCACCCCGTCCCGACGGACCCCGCAAATTGATAGGAATGTTGGGCCGCGGTGCAACGAGAGACCGTCTGCTCTGATGTCATACTGGCCGTTTAATTGGCTGAAATAGGCCGCGGAAATCCATTCGCGCGTAGATCGAGAGCGCACACGCTCGCTCGTGAAGAGAGAGAAAGAGTGAGAAAGAATAAAACAAACGGAGAAGAAGAAAACGAGGGAGAGGGGAAAAAAAAAAACGAGGAACCGCGCGATATTAGGAGGAAAACGCGCACGGCATATCCGCGCGACTGACGCGAGTGAAGCTAAAACGCGCACTGCGAAAAACGTGCGCGCGAAGCGAGCGAGAGAGAGAGAGACCCGCCCAAACGTGACGACTGACGGCTAAGTTCAGCGCGAAAGCCCTCGTTTCGGCAAAGAAGAACAAGGAGCGCAGCGGGAAATCGCTCGGTTATCGTCGAGGAACGGCGACGTCTTCTCTCTCCTCGTACGTAGATATACAAAGGAAAAGAACGTAAAAGAGCCGAGGAGGAGGGGGAACAGAGAGGAAAAGATCGCACGCTATCGGCACGGACGAAGACGGAGAGAGGGAGAAAACTGGGACGGGTGACTGTAAAAAAAATTCACTATCGATCTGCGAAACACCGTCGGTTCCGTGGCCCGTGCGTGCGGTCGTCGCGGCCGCGTTTTCCCTAGAGCAACAAAGTTGCGCTGCACCTAGGGTGCAATCAGGTGCAGCACGTAGAAGACGAATCTCCCTGTGCTTCCAAGTTTTATTTTCTTACCCGTCGGATGCCATCTCGCGCGTTCCCGACTGGCTTGTCGTCGTTATTGTTGTCCACGTCGTTGTCTTGTCCGTCTTTCTCGCCGACGCGGTCTTCGTCGTTTCTGTCTTCGTCTTTCTTGTCACTGTCACCGTCGTCGTCGTCGTCGTCGCTGCAAGGCACGACGAGTGCGGTGCGATGCGGCGCGCTTACCGCACCTCCGCTCCACCACTCCGCACCACTGTCAACTTCCTTCTCGTCGTCCCTCGGCACGTCACCCTCGCTGACAATCACCACTCGCTTGACACTTCTCACCAAGACGACGTTGACACTCGAATGTCGCAACGTTCCATATCCGCGAGCGCGAGCAGCAGCGACGCGGCCCCTTCATGGCAGCCTCGCGGCGGCCATCTTTTTTCTTCTGTTTGGTTCGTGGTCAGTTTCGCTGATCGCCGCCCCGGTCGCGTCGCCAGCACTCCCCGCGGACAAAAATTCATTCCCGCACGCGCGCCGCACGTGCCCCCCTTCCTACTTTATGTTGATTTCTTCTTTATCGTCTCTTTTGTCGCAGCGATGAATATATTCGCGATCCGCGCGTTTGCATTCGCTTCGAGGATTCGCGATCGAGCGATGTTACGTGACGAAAATGATCTCGACCATCGATTGTCGAGTGAAGTGATAAAAATGATGGAAAAACAATTAACTTTAGATTTTTACTAACTCAGAATTAATGATGTATAATTAATTAAGAAGCGATATTTAAAAGATAATAAGATAAAAAACTCGCCTGAGATGTAATTTTTCAATAAAATGACATTTGATGAACCTTCGTGTCGATGTTGTTTTCAAAACTTTGGAATCCGCTGATGAACGAAGACGACATCTGTTGCAGAAGAATCGCAAACATTTTACAGATGTATATTCATATTCCATTCTCAACGTTTTATCAACTCGGTATCTAACGTAAGCCGGATTTGCAATGTTTTGTAGCATTGGTCGAATTGCCGACTATGATCAAATACGATTGGATGTTGCGGACAAAGCCTGTGCTCTTGATCGTTGCGAGCGCCAGGTGGAACCAAGTGGAAACTGGATTTCGTTAAATCGAGAGAGAGTTGCATTTCTATATGCTGTGGTGTCATACATCGCGTTTCCGTTTCGGTCTTTGCTTCTTCTTCTTCTGTAGCTCTTGATAGAGAAAATGGTAATTTATGTTGTTTAAAATTCGAAATTTGCTTGAATTGTTACATCGCGGATCGAATATTCTTCAAATATCTTTGTCACTCGTAGACTTGACTGTGCGACGCATCTTAAAGTCGTTAAGTTCCCGACGAAATTTAATATTCTTCCGCGTTAAATTGATTCTCGTGTAAAGTGGCCATGTGGTCGCCACACAATTTGACTGCTGACAGAAATATTTTACAGAATTTCAGTGTTTGTTAGTTGTGTTAATTTTACTTGTATTTAACAAATGGTCTGTAGGTTGTGATAGTATTCGTAAATCGTGAGACAAAGAATTACACATACACGAATCGTAGCTTAACCTCAAATTTATACGCGACTCCGCGGATCGGAGTTGATGACATGATGTCGTAAAATTTCCGCGACTCTACGGAAATTTGTATATTTGATGATTTATCACTGTATACGCATTTCAATTTTGTTTCCTTGCAGACTTGTAAGCGAAGAAATGGAGGTAGGGCCAAGCACGGCCGTGGTCATGTGAACCCGGTACGCTGCACCAACTGCGCGCGATGCGTCCCAAAGGACAAGGCCATCAAAAAATTCGTAATACGTAATATCGTCGAGGCAGCTGCTGTTCGTGATATTACAGAAGCGAGTTATTATCAATCCTACCAGCTTCCCAAGCTGTATGCCAAGCTTCACTACTGTGTTTCGTGTGCTATTCACTCCAAAGTAGTGAGGAACAGGTCTAAGGCTGACCGCCGCATCAGAACACCACCTGTTCGCAACTTCCCAAGGGTAATTTAAAATAATTCAATGTCAAAAGAACTCAATTTGTTTTTCATTCATCTGTATATACTCTAAACTTGAAACATTTATATCTATATGTATATTTTATGTTCAAGTAAATTTGAAATTTGTAATGTGCTGTAAGATGTTTTGACAATTTAAAAATATTGTACACAAGATTGTGAAATTGAAACTTATACAGCAAAGTACAGAAAACTTAATTGAAAACTATTTAACAATTATGTTAAATTTTTGTTTTTCGTATATTTAATCACAAAATAAAAAATATATGAAAATGTGTTATCTTGTTTTCAGGATTTGCGTCAAGGCCAGCAAAACAGGAAATAATTTTATTATGTAAAAATAATTTTATTATAAATAAAATTGTTGGAAAACTAACATCGCAAAAAAATCTTCATTTGTACAAAATAAAAACCATCAAACTGTAATATATCTTATTATTGTGAAGAAACTACAATATTGGTGTATCACAAATTAAGCTATATTTTGCAATGTGTCAAAAATGAAATGCGCTTACATACAGTAGAACCTCCCAAAACGTATATTTTCCCTTTCATCGTTTTTCCCATCACTAAATACGGTTACCGTTTTGGGTTTGTCGGTCCCAACTGTACAGGTTTTGGGAGGTTCTACTGTATTTGCGATTGTGAACACGACTTACGTTCGTTGCGAGCGCCAAGTGGAGCTACTTATAGCGGCGACATACCAAAGAGTACATATATATACACAAGTTTACCAATACATATAGGGAGCCGCAGTCTAGTATGTTTTAGACGTCTATGGTTTGATTGTTGGACAAAGTGATACTTAACGTCCAGTGCGTAGATAAACGTTTTATTGAGAGAGGGAGAGAGAAGACCGACGTTTTGTTATAATTCGTAATTAACATTTGAGACAGAATTCGCGTGCAATCGTTTCAGCAATCACGTCATCATGGAGCAGGAAGACGTTCTGACGATACTGAAAATTCTTATGATAGGCGAATCTAACGTTGGAAAGTCGAGGTACTTTTAAAAAAAAAAACGTGCAACTCATCGTTCCGCTTTCACGTGTTGATTAATAATAAACAATCTAACCGTGGTTTCGCAGCATACTTCTGAGATTCACCGAGGATGAGTTCTACGACAACATGCAGAGCACGGTCGGGATGGACTACAAGACCAAGCAGATCACCATTGACGGCAATACGGTGAAACTCGCAATTTGGGTACGTTGTTGTCGCCGCACAGTTTTTTTTATTCGCGTAGAAATGATAACGTAATCTTTGTGATATACTGCGCAACTTGTATTTACGAAAGGATCGTTGTTCGTTGTAGGATACCGCCGGTCAAGAACGATTCCGTACTTTGACCCCGAGTTATTACAGAGACGGTCAGGGGGCTATTTTGATGTACGACGTTACGGATCGCAATACCTTTGTGAAATTGGAGACGTGGCTCAACGAATTGAACACGTACTGCAATAAAACAGATATCGTTAAAATGGTAGTGGGAAACAAAATAGATTTGCCGCATAGGGAAGTGAGCACCGAGGAGGGTTTGGAGTTCGCCAGGCGGCATCAGACCTTGTACATCGAGAGCAGCGCGAAAACAGCAGATGGTGTCAAGTGTTGCTTCGAGGAACTTGTACAGAAGGTTAGAACTTCCACTAGCAGCTCTCATAATTTATAATTATTTTTTGTTTTTTATTAATAAAATACATAAAATATTCTGTATAACAGATAATACAGACGCCTGGTCTTTGGGACACTCACTCTTCGCGGTTGTACGACAACGGTACTCTGGGCGCCAGACATCGAATGGGAAGAAGAGGAATGCAGCTGACCAATGACCAGCCACAACAGGAAGCTTATTCAAATTGTTACTGCAGCATGCTATAATGTAATCTGTGATGAACGGTGATAAAGAAGTTTAGTGCTAAACCGTGTGTATTGTATTCAATTCGAGACTTTACACGAGGAGTAAATTCGAAAAGACTACGACATTGCTTCATACGTGCTGCAAATTCAGATTCCCACATAACGTAAACGAAAAACGTGCATGTATTCGCTTATATCTCACGTAAACACACGTACACACACACACACACACATGGACTACCGTTGAAAATTGAATCTCGAGCCTAGCGATGAAACTTACTTCGAATTTTTGTCTTGTAAATATATATAGGAATTGAAAACGTAAAAAAAAACACAAAACTCGATAAACATTTGTACGGACAATAGTCGTTTGCGCTCGGTTCACATCGCGTTTTTGTACGAGTTAGTCGTGGCTCCGGCATTTTTACGGTGTTCTCGATTGTGTTCGTCGTTTTATATTCTGCACAATACGTGCGCTTAACGCATATCGTCTTATTCGAAAATGTGTATTATATTGTAAAAATGTGTATCTAGGAAAATTTATGCTTAGCTATTTTGTCTACATTACGTGCTACTTTGTAGGATCTAAGTCTTTTTTTTTTATTAAAGATATGTACTTTTCGCTGCGGCGAGTATATATATTAAAAGGAAGAGATTTTAAATATAACTTACACATGGTGGTGATATTATATACATAAATTAATGTTACATATAATTTATTCGTTTGTAAATAAACATTTTCTGATATGTACATATGTGGTTCTCAATATAAAAATTTCTATATGTATGTCGTGATACGATCGATTTATAACAACTGCCTAAATATAATTTGTATAACCCACTTCTTCTGACATTTATATCTTCGCGAAAAATATACAATACAAAAGTTTACTTCCACGTGACTCGCACGTGTTAAAAAATGTCAGATCTTTCAGATACAGTAAAAGAGGAACCACTGGATGTAAAATTGACAAAAAAAGGAATGCTGATCTACGGCGAGTGGAGTCGGGAGAAATTAATTAATGTGCTAACGAGCAAACTCACGCGACGTGGCAAACAGGAATTACCCGTGTGCGACGACACGTTGCCTCAAGTGTTGCATTGCATCATCCACAGTGGAATTTACGATGAGCACGTTTTACGTCAGATAGAAATAAGAGGTACGTCAAGATCCATTTTTATCAACACGCGGTCATTATTTACAAAATCAAATTTTAGATATGTCACCGCACAGTATCGTGAAAGCGATGAAATACGGTCTTCTCAGTCTCACGTCCGAAGAACTGAGATATTTTGAAGACTTCGGAGTTGAATTAAAGGACATAGGCGCACAAACATTCAACGACAGATTGATAAGGAAATTGTACGCATCCAGATTATCCGAAGCTCAGTGCCGATCTATTGTCACGTGCGGATTGGCATCCCAGGACAAATGTGTACTATATTGGCTTTTCTTGAGTGGCATTGACGTGCCGAGAATTCTATCGTGGCCAGGGAAAATCACGCCGGCTACATCGACGATAATTGGTTTTCTAAGAAAATTCGGCGTAAGTGAAGACACTCTTCGCCACGTAGAAGAGAACGGTATCGACGACGAAGCCGAAGATATGTTAATCGATCTCGGGTATAACGAATACGAAGAAATGATGGCTACGGAAGCAAGTGAAGCGTTTTGACTAATTTTTATTAAAAAATACACGAAGACACTGTGCTGTAAAAATTAAGTGATCTACACACATTGAAAATAAAATGTGATCCGTAGGAAGTGATATGCGAATGCAGTTTGCTTACATTGAGGTCCGCCTCCTCGGACGAAGAAACAGCTGACACTGCGTCCGACAGTTCTTTGTTAGAGACGAGAATACCTTGTTCGACATTTTTAAAAATACAGTCTGATCTTGCCGCGGGTACTTGCATCTGTCATATAATAAATTCCATAAAATTATTGCGGAAACAAGACACTGAAACTTCGAGAACTTCTCACGATTATTTGAGGTATCTTGAAGTGTTGTTTAAAATCGCAACATTAATTGTTGTTGCGTGAAAGCACGACGTGATATAAATCTAGAGGTGCGATGAATTGTACGTGTATAGACAAAATGTGATGGTGCCACTGACGTGGGCGATAAGCAGAGCTTTGAGATATCAACCGTCAGATCCCACGCATTACGTAGCCCAACAGTTGTTACGTTGGAAGTACGGCAATGTCTCACAAAAGGAAGTACGTGATATTCAAGAATTCGTGGTTTCTGCCACGACAATGACGGAACAAAGACGCGTGGTAAGATACACGTTTATTTTCCTATTCGCAAAATACGACTGTATTCCCATTCTGTTTCAATTAGGAAGAACGTATGCGCAAAGAAGACGCGATTAAACGTCAAAATGCAGAAGCGTTAAAACATATTCCTTGCGACGTGTGCTTAGAGCGACAAAAATTGTATCCTGTTTTAGAACGTTGTTGGAAATGCAGGGGAGTGCTAATGTCACCGCTGCAAGTGAGACACAAATTTTGCAAAGGGAAGCAAATAATTCTTCTACAAAATTCAAGCTAAGTAAGGCAAGAAACGTTTTTCACGCACGCTCTTCATAAAAAATTCGTTTATTTTATATTTGGACTTGTACATTTAGTTTCGCATTAAGTTTATCAGAACAATATATTTCGGTGCAGAAATCGCACAAGAGTATTACGTGGAACGGAATGGAATGAAAAAATGTCCGACGCATCACAATAAAACGATGTTTAACACATTCTGGCAGTGATCAAAGTTGTTCAAAAACTTTCTTTTTTAGTACAAAAAGTACCGAACTTTCTTTTTTTTTTTTAGTCGTTTCTATAATTATATATTACGTACTCGACCAAATATTTTATACTTGGAAATGCACGTACTATATACGATTTATTTACTTTGTAATGTCAGGCAGTCGCATGAACGAATACTAATCCGGTAAAAAAAAAAAAAAAAAAAAAAAAATTAACTTTCCACAGCTCACTTGTATCACTTTTATACGTAATGCACAATAAAATTTATTAAAATTAGTATTAATATGCGCATAAAACATTTATTATTATTATTATAAAGTGAAAATGAATATCTCCTATATCTGTAGTTTTATATTAAAAAAAAAAAAAATTTATTTTTCTACGAAGAAAAATATGCATAGAAGTTTAATTCATGTACACAGAGGAGAAAAACAAATCAAATATATCTTTCTTTGTGTGTACACAGATATTAAACGTATATTATCTATTATAAAATATTACTTGAGAGATAGCTCACTCGTCTCGATCGTGCACGGAACTATATTTCCGTGCACGCAATTGTAAAAACGATTCCTGCAGATGTAATGATTCAGGTACTACTGTGATGAATCAATGATATAAACTATCTGAATATATAAAATTGTTTGAGAAAGCGATAAAAATAAAGGCAGTTATTATGCTAAGAGTTTTTTTACGAAGTTCTCTTTCCAGTTCCACCCCCACTCAACTTTTCTCTGTACGAATAACCGTTTCCGTAATGTTTTTTTTTTGTTTTGTTTTTTGGTGAAAATCTCATGACGGCAAACCTCAATAAAATAGCAACGTATCAAAATATATTTTTGCATCTATCTTGTTTGGTCTATTATCCTGAGCTGCTAACAGAACGGGATTCGAATGGTTACACAGATCGACTTTCGTTTCGCACATTAAGTAAAAACTGGAAGTACAAAGTAGAGTAATAGCTAATCCTGTACTTGTTCTGGACGTTTTGTGTTTCAAAATCTATTGGTTTATCCAATATATTTCATTAAGGGTTTCCATCGAAACCTGGCTGTGGACTCGTGGAAAGGAGTACCTTCCCTCCGATTTAGTCAGCCGCGTGTAGTGCGACGCAATGTAAATGTCTCGCGCAACCGAAGAAAATACTTTTTTTTATACTTTTTAAACAGAGTACACCTGGAGTTTATTAATCTTGGCTCTTTCCTCCTCGGTATCGTCCCGACATATCATAAGCGTATGGGACAAACCGCATGTCACGGCAGTGATATACAAACCCTCTAGGGCCTTCACCTCCATCGGAGTCGTTGATGACTTTCGCATCTCGCCGAAACCCTAGAAAAAAAAAAAAAAACAATCGTATGAAACAAGAATGTTGAAAAAAATGCAAATTCGCTGTTTTGATTCTACAATCTTGATATGTATTCGTTTTTCAAAAATATTGTTACCAGTTCTCCGAATGTAGGACTGGCGCCCCAAGCAATAACAGAGTCATCAGCGGCGACCACGACACTTGTTTGCGAACAACCGACACATCGAATCTCCCAGCCCGATAGATCCTGAATAGGCTTTGGATACATGTTAGCTTCACCGGTGCGCTTGGTCTGGCCAAACATCAGAGCGGTGCCGTGCACGTTGATCGCGATGCTGTACGTGCTGCCGCAGTATACCGCTCGCACGCCACGATTGGGCGGTTCGAGAAACTTGATCAGACGCGGCACCAGCTCGTCGCGTTGCTCGTTGTGACCCAAACGGCCGATCCCACCGAATCCCCAAGAGAACGCGCGGTTCTTGCTGTCAATAGCGACGGTGTGATAGTGACCGCAGCTGAAGTCTGTGATCTCGACGCGATCTAACGGCGTCGCGTGACCGTCCTTACCTCTCTCGACATAGAGGACAATTCGCTTAGGCACTTTTTCGTAATGAAATGCCATCTTTGTGTTCGTAACGAAATATTTGCCGTCGGTGTTGTGACCCAAAGCACCGTATTCGGGACATCCGAAGGAGTGCAGACCACCCTTGATGTCCAGAATCATTGAGAACTCTGCGCCGCATCCCACTTTCACGATCGGCGGTCCGGAATATTTCACTTTGGTGGCGGTCAAAATACATGGGTCATTTTTGCCGACCCCGCACTGGCCAAGTTTATTGTCGCCAGCGGCAAAAACTATGCCGCGACTCGTTAAAAATAAAGTATGATTGCGACCGCACGCTGCTCCTATAACTGTATGCCCCTTTAAGGCTTCGACCTCGGTAGGTTCATCACGACGCTTTTCGTCTCCAACACCCAATTGACCTGTAAAAATGATTGAGCAACAAAACTGGATGATAAATAAATTCAGCAAATCAGTGAGTGCTAAGATCTCACAAATATGTATAATAGTTCCTCTTGAATTGAAAAACTCTTATTTTTCTTTTCCCCGTCGCTACGAAAAAAGGGAAAGTCATAGAATTTGATGGATCTATGTCTGACTCTTTTCTTTTGTCTTTTTCTTCGTTATTGTTTATCTTGAGAGATCGAGAAAATATTCGTTTACCTTTGTCATTTCTACCAAAAGCCAAGCATCTATTGTCCTCGGTAACAATAATGCTGTGGGAGGCAGCAGGACCTGATGCAATTAGACGCACCCTGGCGTTATTCAAATTTTTAAAAGTGTGTGGCGTCCACAAGCTACGTCCTACATTTGCCTTTACCCCCTTAGGTGGTGCTTTGCGACCTGCCATTTCCCAATTTGTAAGGCCACACATGAGCAATGTTCCAGGTTTGCCCCAGCCACCCTGACACCAAACATGGGGGGTTCAGTTATCTTTATTACAAGTGTGTGTATTATCAGATACATTTTCCTATACTTACATTTTGATAACATATGTATATAAATTTTTTCTATAAGTAAATTATAAAAATGTTCAATATATGCACACAATTATAATTTTTATTTTTATAAATATATGTTCTTTCTATATTCTCTCATTCTACCGTATATAGGAATGTCTTATAATTATAATTGTATTAATTAGAAACCGCGAGTTGTTTTGTCAATTCAATGTTAATTCGAGCCGATAAAACTGCGTTTGACAGAAGGCCAACGAACAATACGGGAACAAAGTTTCCGCGTCTCACGGTGAGGAGCGTCCGACGCGGGGGAGGCGTGCCTAATCGCGCGATTTAGCGCCGAGGGGAAAGCGAGAAAGAAATTACCTCCGGAGCCGGTAGTTCGGGCATATTCGCGACATCCGCGAGCGCATCCTCGGCGGCTGCGTCGTCGCCGTCGGCATTCGAACCGGCCTCGGCGTCGTCGACCTCGGAATCGTGCTCGCTCGAAATGTCCTCCTCGTCGTACTCAACCTTGCGCGACTTCGCGCGGTTCTTCGACTTGCTGCCGCCCGTGGTCTTCCGCTTGGTCGACATCGTTATACCGCGCAGCCGTTTTCCGAGAAAATTCGTGCGATCTCGCTCGACGCGAACGTTCGAAATTCAATGCCCGTCTCTCTCGCGGTCTTTTCCGACGGCGTTCACGCTAACGGTCGCCGCGGTGACATTTATCGATGTAATGGCGCTGAGGGAGCCGCCGACAGCAAAATCGACAACAAAAACGCGGCCACCTGGCGCTCAAAAATCATAATAAAACCATGCTCCCGCGATAAGTGTATATATATATATATATATCTACGTACATACATACAAAGCTATTCTGCAGTTTATGATTGTAAATCGCCGGGGGCGCGCTCCGTATTCCGTGCGGCTGGAACACGGCGGAATCGGACCGTTGTCGCACCGACGAGAAGCGGGAATTTTAAACTACTAGAGCATGAATTTTTCGACTTACGACAATTAAACGCGAGTCGTAATTAGCGCCGTCGTCTTTGACAAGAGAAGATTCGAAAAAAAATGACGAAAAACTTCAAAAGCGGCGAATTTGTACAGGCGCGTATTTGTGCTCGAGCGCGCGATGCGCGTCAAGTGCGCATGATACGTTTAGGCTCGCCACGCGCAACAGGTTCCGTTGCGTTATTATACGAACGAGAGGCGGGTATGGCATCACGCACTGTACTATATAGCATTCTCTTACAATTCTCGCAATTTATTAGCAATGCGTCACGTTTATCCGCTCGGATTACGATAATGATCTTCGATGTGATGATTGATGAGTCTTTTCTTTGTTTTTATCAAAATTTCGATTAATATTTTGCAATATTTTGTGGCCAAAGGTCAATGATACACAATAGTTAAGTACATTCAGAAAACGCAGACAGTTGCACAACAATTGAAAGATTATCATTTTTGATTGGATTTTTTGGAACCGTGACAGATTTTGGAGAATAGTTTTATCTCACGAGCGATAATTTCTCAACCGCTGAGCAAATGTTTTTTTTTTTTCTGAACGTAACCGCAATGAAGATTCTTGGCATCGAAGATGTCAGAAAGATTATTATCTCGAGGATGAAGTGAAAATTTTCCATTCCATTGTCTATCGCATATATGTGTATCACAGATAATCTATCGAAGCAGACTGCGATGTACAATGTACCGCAAAAAAAACTTAAATGCCTACAGCACACATTACTTATAAGAAATCTCTACAATCTTCTCTAAGAAAAATATTAGAAATAAACGCACAATATACGAAAGTTTTATTAAGAAAATGTAAAACTATTGTGTCGTCAATTATTTTCTCCAGTTCTCTCGTATAAAAATATAAAACATTACAAAATATTATATATTATGTACACATACACACACACACATGCGTGCGGTTTTTAAATGTTAACAAAACAAGGAGACAAAACGTGACGTGATGACGACACGCGAACTGTTATCAAATCGTGGACTCCACGTGCCGACGCTCTCGCTCGGTCGCGTTTTTTTTTGTTGCGCAGCCAATTTATTGTTTGTGTTTATGCCTATTAATCGTGTTTGCGTTCGTGACGGTGTCTGACTGGTTAGAAGTCTTCGTAATCCCGCCGTCGCCAAATGCCAAACAAAAGCTGTCGAGCAAATAAATAAACTCAATGAGCGATTATTGCAATAGCGATAAGGCAATCACGATAGTTGTTTTATTCATTGTTGCTTGTGTGTATAAACTAATTCGATTGTATATATTTATTTTTTTGCGCACACATACACATAATCTCAGTGTCCCATTCTTTACGTAGAAAAAATAATTTATTGTTGTCGGATTACTTTTGAGACTTCGTCGAAATTGTACAGATGTAAATTAACAATGTCATTGAGTAGATATTTCGTTTTCGCAATATTATTCAGGGAAAATAAAAAGAGTAAATATAAGAGTCTGGAAAGAAAGAGAGCGAGAAGAGAGAGAGAAAGAGAGAGAGAGAGAGAGAGAGAGAGAGAGAGAGAGAGAGAGAGAGAGAGAGAAAGAGAAAGAGAGAGTGGAAGATTATAAATACAACACATATGTATCGCTAAGATTTTATTTTGCTATTTACAATAAAAGAATTCTTACTTCTTTTGTGTTATCAATAATTGCTTACTTTATCAAGAACTGTGTAACTCATGATTATTCATGCTTATTTGTTATCTGCCAAAAATCATGAAAACAAACAACTATTTGTTTGTTGATTATGGATGCCGAATTGCGATAAGGAATCGGAACGGGAAGATACAGTAATCTCTTAAATGGAACATCTCATTTCTTCATAAAAAATTTTATTGCATAAAAACACGTCACATATGATTAATAATAATTAAATATAATATAATAATAATAATCACGTAAATAATACAAGCTTTGCAATTTTCTTACTTGTATGATTATTCCTTTTATTCAGTCTGATTGTGAGATTTCTTCTTATCACTAGAAGTGGGCATCCTGTGAAATTATATGTTATTTTATCAAGATGTGATTTTGGAATTTTACATGTATTTGCTTGTAACATGATTGAACTTACATATTTCATGTACGACAGGAAAATATCGTACACCATTGTCATAGCATTTGTGTAAAGTACTCGATAATGCAAAGGCACAAACAGGAAATTAATGCATTGTGTTGGAGGCCAGAAACAGCAGTCCACCTAATATGAAACACATTTTGAAGATAAATTATTTTTAAAGAGGATTTTTTGTGTGATGATAATTTTTTCTTTTATCTTTTTATAAATTTATATTTTAAAATAAAATAACGATTTAACATATAGTTTTGTGTCATACGTACCTTCCAAGTGTCGGCAAATTTCAACTTGAGCTCGCCGCAGATTTCCTCGATTTTACGACTCTCGAGAATTCCAAGACCAACGAAAAATATCGCCAGACACGTGGGACTCGCGATGGACTGATCGAGAAGCGTTTTCTTGATGACCGATTTGGTGCTTCTACCTGGCAAAACTCTTTCTAGAAGCAAATAGAACCAGTGATGAAACGGGCCTTGGACCAATCCGACGACCGTCATATTCCTAGTTCTCGTGTAATCGTGTCGGAAGTACGCGGAAGCGCCGGAAGTTGTCATCACTTCTTCGTCTTCTTCCGGCGACGCGGCCAGAACGCTGAAGTACTTGTGCGAATAATACTTTTTCCAGTGCTCGCTACGCTGTTGGATCACATCGCCCGCTGCCATCATCAAGCCGCAACTCACGGTATTGGTGACTAACAGATATTTACCTGAACCACACAAGATAAACGTAAAACAATGTATGTCGGATAATAAAGCCGCAAGATCGAGAGAACTCGATTCGCAAAAATTTATAATACGTTACTCACCGAACAATAGTTGACGCAGAAGACCCATATTTATAAAACAGGACAGTATCAAAATAGTTTGCAAATTGAAAAAAAAAATATTTTGTATTTATAAGAGAATTTTTAATTGTTTTCTTCTTCAAATCAAATTATTTTTTTTTCGAGCGGCTCTGCGTTAAGAGCAACGCATTCAAGCGGGATCCGTTCGATCTTTTGTGTACTTTTACTTCTGTCTCTCTAGGATCTCTCTAGAAGTTTTCTTCCTTTTTCTTTAAATATATTGTTATTATTTAATAAAACGGTTTTCCTTGATTCTTCGGTGCTTATGAAGACGAAATGTTGGTTGATTATTGTTGTGTGGCATAACTCTCAAACTGACTCGTTGAAGATCGACGGTCTTCGAGTTCAGTGCTGAACGGACGCCCTAGATGCGCGTTGCTGCAGTACCGATCACCCGAGTTATCATCGTAGGCCGCAAACGTACACTGTTTAGCGGGATCGAGGGCTCGTTAAATATACGGTCGACGACGCGGCAATCAAAAATTCCGCCGAGGTTGCGCAGTGGCAAACTACGCGGCCTTATCTCGCCGATATATATCGCGCATTTCTTCAAAATTTTCTTGTCGGATGTGATATAACAGCTAAGGATGCGCATACAGATTTATCAGAATTTAATCTCACGTATTTGCTAGCTGCTGTTCGATGTATATTAATAGCGCAATAAACTATGACAATAAACTTTGTACACTCCCAAGCTCCCATTTAAACATATCGCTTCGTACAAGAATTAGCAGATTTTATATTCTAGAATAGAATCGACTTTTTGGATGATATAACACATCCGCGAGAAACCTCAGACTTAACGCTAACACGAAATAATATATAAACGCATAGCAGTTGTAAAAGTTCGAAATATAAAATGTTTACTATGACTAAGTACAATTCTTTCTGGCTGTAGAATTGTGAGGAAACTGAAAAATGTGACACATAAAAATGACAAATGTTGCAATAGAATTTTTGAGTTTTTTTATTTTGTAATCAAAATTACACGATTTAATTATTTAGCCGCAACAGCCTTGGGTTTTGGCAGACCTTCCCTAAACCCATTCCTATATAAACATACAGATAATCACATATACAGATTAAAGATGACAAAGCAATGTTTGTTTGAAAAATTAATCTTCTTCTAAATATTTACATTAATTCTTACTGCAGCAATTATAATATTTATTAGAATTAAAATATATATTTGATTACAACTATAACAAAACTTACTTGAATTTACGGCGGACAATTTTCAGGTGCCTCATACGACCAGTACCAGTGGTCTTTCGTCTCTTCGACTTTATTGACCAATTATCTGTAACAATTACACATTAGATCCAATCAATATCATTACTGAAGTAACTATTTATTCAGTAAATAGCTTCAAATAGACACAGAAACCTTCTAATCTACATGTGTTACAACTTACATGATCGCATTTTCTTGGCTGGATAGCCACATTGTGCACATTTTGACTTCTGCAGGTGATATGAACTGCGTCCGCATCTTCTGCATAACGTATGCGTCTTATTACGCCGTTTACCAAAACTCGACGTACCCTTCGTCTGTGAAAATCAAACAAAAATCATGACAAACATAACCTATGACATCCAATTGTATTAACATCGAAAAGTGACCTCAAGTTGACGCGACGAAAAGAAAGTTAATTCATAAATGTGCTCGCAACGTGACAAATGTGCCGCATTAATACTAAGTATAAATTTTTATTTGGTAAAAAATTGCAACACGTTAGCGCATAAAGACTTCGCTTTCTTAACCTGTACACCAATATACTGAACCAGTTGTGCGAGAATCTAATTCTTTTCGCTCGATATTATTCGGTTACGCAGATCTTACAAAAGTTCAGGACATTTTTCCAATGCTCATTAATGCGTTGATTGTTAAGATTGCTACAAAATAAATCGATTTAAATAACACAAACTCATGCGTACCATTTTGACGGGAAAAAGTAATCCACAAAAGAGACGACAGATCTTGTTTCGAATCCGATCGTTCCTTTCGTTCAACTAAATTAGACAATCGGAAAGACGAAACGCGCGTACTCTACAGTTGTTGATCGGAACTACTTGTGATTACGCGAAATTTACTCAGATGGTAAATGTTTTGGTTAGAATATAAATTTTTTTATTAATTATAAATGCAGAGATCTCCTTTGATTTTTAATTACTTTTTTTTTTCATAAAGTTTTATTAATTAAAATAAACCGATACAAAATGTAAATATTTTCGTTTTATTAATTGTACACTTTTTATTAATTTGTACAGATTTTTTAGTTTTTAGAGTGCAGTGTTATCGTATATAAAAAACGAGTCATTAAATTTCTATAAGTCTGTCTGCATCGGTGAGTACCTCACGAGAGTATTGGCTACCAGATTTTACAACGTGATTCGCTCCAACTATGCAATCTTTCAATTCCGTGCCTTCTTCAATAGTGCAACCGTTACACAAGATGCAATTGTGAATGACACATCTGTAATAAAAATTAATGTCTTTGTAAACAAGATATAAAACAAAATCACAAGATACTATATTCGCAGTCACACTTTTTTTGTCGGCGAAGTGTTGTGTATTTAAACGCAAATAACACTCGATCTTCTGAGCTCACCTCTGTTTAATAGTTACATTTTCCATTATCACACTCTGAGATATTCTTGTTTTTGACTCCACAGTGCAGTTAGGTCCTATGTAACTACATTTGAGCGACGTTTTCTCATCGATCAACGTGTTATCGCCTATACGACATTCCTGCACTTGTGTACTGCGCACAGTTGCAGTGTTAGAAACGTCTGGCAGCGGGATCTGTTCATTACTGCCAGCACTCCACAACTCTGATATCTGTTCAGAAAGTTTCTTCGATTAGCAACGTTGTTTTCATTGTACATAAGACAAATGTATCACGCAGTATCAAACCTTGGCATTGGCAAAATGATACGTTGCTACAGTGTTTGCTCTGAGACCAAACTTCTCATTCGTTATGTAAGCGTAACATCGTATTATATCTCCATAATAAGTTTCTTCTAGATCAGTACTGTGATCATTGAAAGCTGACATCTGTCTTACTTGTGTATTCAGAGAGTTTTCCTTCACAAAACGGAATATGTCTTCCTTTACATCTTCTTGCACCATGGAAGTATTTTTATCGTTCACGTTTTTACGTTCAGACATCTGTCTCCTAACTATGTATGGCAAAAATTCACCCTTCAGTGTGCTGAATTTTCTGCAAAATTGATTGCACATATAAACACGTCATTATATAATTATGAAATTTACAACTTTTCTCAATATTATTGTTAAACTATTCTCAATATTATTGATAAAACTTACGTGTTGTAAAGCAAAAAATCCAACACCCATTTTTTGCAAACATACAAATGGGCATCTGCAAATTTACAATGAACAGTAATGCTGGAGTGTCTTATGACAAGTTTCTTGGACATACTGATTGTTGACTCAAAATCAGATGCCGAACCCAAGAAGATCAATCGTCCTTCTGTGTTATTGTCAATGCCGAGTAAATCAATTTCTGACTTATGCTTACTTTTCCGACCTGGTGTTACTAAATCATCTGATGCTCTTAGAACAGGCAACATCACAGCGGTTACACTCGCGTCATGTTTTCTATATAAATCCAAAACGTCCAATATATTGATATTTGTAATCAGATCGCAGGATATCACCAGAAAGTCCGTGTATATTTTATCGTGAATGTATCTAATCGCATCGGCTGTGCCAAGATCTTCGACCTGCGGAATTGCCACAATGTCAATCTTGATCTTCAAGCTTAATTTTTCCAATGACGTAGATACGTCTGATTTTGTCAGTTCCGAAACGACAACAATTGCTTCCTTGAATCCAGAACGTTCGAGAGTCTGCAGAGGATACCAGATCATGGGAACGTTTCCAATCGGTAGCAAACATTTGGGCTGGTCAGCCGTAATCTCCGTCATACGAGACCCTCTTCCTCCGGCAAGCACAATTGCTTGAAATTCGTTGTAATCTACCATTTTTTTTGTAAATCTACAATAAAATAGAAACATATATACAATAACGTACATGAATTGTTAGAAACATGTGATTGTAACACACTTAATTGATAATTATAATTTTTTTTTATATAATACCTGGAGTTTTTTGTGTATTATAACAGAAATGTATCACGATTGTAAAACCACGTGTTTTCTAATGTCGACGACAATTGAGATCGTCTAACTCTTACTCTTCTTCTGGTCTATTCTGTAAATTCGTAACGTATATATCGAAGACAACACATGCTGCGTTATGAATTTTTGAGTAAACCTGCAACAGACTGGAGCAGACCCTGCAAGTTAAATGTCTAAAAAATATATTGCGCAACAATAACGAAAGTTTTGCTTGTCTGGCAGAGTGGCGTTTGATTGACCAATCGGGACAAAAAGAGCAAAGATTTCTGAATCCTGATTGGTCAATCGTTATTCTATGAGCAGTGTTGAGAAGAAGAAATATTTGGGTCAGCCATGTGCTCGCGCGCGATTCTAACCTTTAAAAGAGGGTAGGTTTATTCTAAGTAACCTAGTAAAAATTGTATCTGGTTTTGTACATTAATTAACAATTAATAATTCATAATACGATGAGTAATAACGTGGAAAACACATGCGAACCCGCGGAGAATGTGGTCACGATCGGTATGCACGTGATAATTAAGAAGCACGACTACAGCAAGATATACAAAGTATCTGAAAACGGTGTTCTGATGTTGGGAAAGGACAAGGTGGAGATGCGCGAGATCGTCGGCAAACCGTTTTACAGCTCCTTCGAGATGGTACCGTTGCCGGGTTGCAAAAGGACCTTTTCGCTGAAACTGGCGCTTGGAACGGAATCGTGGAACGATCTGAAGGGCGAACTCAGCGGTCAGGACAATCGTTCCATCACGGACGACAGCACGTCTCAGAAATTGTCAAAGGACGAAATTCTGCAGCTGCAAGAGTCCGGCAAGACCGGCAAAGAAATACTCGGCAGTCTCATAGAAAACAGCACGTCTTTCGCCGCCAAAACGGAGTACTCGCAGGAGAAATATATAAGGAAGAAGGAGCGCAAATATTGCAAGATCCTGACGGTGCACAAGCCTACCATATCGTCTTTGCACGAGGTGCACTACCGACAGAATCACGAAAAAATTGGAGGACTGAGAATGGACGCCTTGGCGCAGATCTTGTCCTTCAGTGACGTGCAAGCGGACGGTCTGCATTTGCTATATGACAGCGGATCTCAAGGATTACCCGCAGCGGCTATGTTGAACAGAATAGGTGAAAACACCAGTGGTTACTTGATCAATTTGCATCCTGGCAATATGTCTCAAACCGCAATTGTTCAGGCCATGAACTTTCCGCAGGAATTAAGAGATAGGCATATTGCAGTGAATGTTTACAGTTTCTTGAGACTGCATTATCAAGGTGAATCGAGTATATTAGAAAATATATGCAAAAAAACTAGCAGTGTTATAACAAAATCGGACAAGGAGAAAACGGAAGGAGAAAAGCTAGTGAAAGAATCTAAAAATGGCGAGGTATCAGAGATCAGTTCTGAAACTTTGAAGCTCGAAAGCACAGAAGAAAATTGTACACTTCCTGAAAATGATATACAAGAAGATAATGTTTTAAAACGTAAACTTGACGAACCTGAAGAATCCGGGGAAAGTCCACCAATAAAAAAACCAAAATGGTTTTTAGAAACGAAACATGCTCTGGATTTGTTAAGCGAATCAAAAGCTCGCGGTTTAACTATTATAGCGAAAGAACATCCGTCAAATATCGCAGTCGCATTGCTGCCCTTCCTGGGACTCTCACGGCCGTTTGTCATTTTTCACACGTATCGGGAGGCTTTGCAACAGACTTACATGGAACTCAAAGAAAAATACAATGTGATAAACGTGCGACTATTCACGAATTTTTTACGCTCGTATCAAGTATTACCCGACAGGACACATCCCGATATACTGATGACCGATACGGGTGGCTATATCTTGACAGGATATTTAGTTGAATAGAAACAAAGTTTTAAATCTTTTATAAAATGTCTTTGATATAAAAAGTCTTTTATATTTATTCCATATACATATATTATGTATTTATTTCCCGTTCCCATATCCTTCGAAAGAATGTTTTAATTATGCTCGCATATACATTGTGTCTCAATATATAACAGTATTGTTTTGAATTTTTAAAAACTTATTTACTTATTCAAATATTATTGCAAAATAATATTTTTTCCCAATTATTCATATATAATTTTCTAAGCTTATCCAATAAAAAAAAACTAATGTGAGTACAATGATATGATTAAATTATCTTTACATGAAAAACTTAAACAAAATAATGTGGTTTCTTAACTATGATGCCGTATTCTGCAACTGCTGGTGTCAGATCTTCCATAGTTAGTGTATACCGACGATCTTTTCCCTTGGTCTTTGAGTTCTGATTGACACCACGTGTTTTGCAATGCTGTAGCGCATCATTGGCAATTTCTGAGATGAACTTTTGAGCTGCCAGAGACACCAAACGTACTCTGAAATAGCAAAAATTAAGAATAATAACATTTAATAGAATTATTATAACACAAAAATCAATGTAAGAATAATATCTTGTATATTCTTACATTCTAGGATCTGTGGTGTTGAAACCAGCTGTATGCAGGTAATGCTCGCTGATGGCATCTGGTACCTAGTGCGAAAAGAATACAAAGGTAGAACAATGACAACAATGTTGATCATAATTTAAAAAGCGCAATGCACGCGAATACAAAACCAAATATTTTTCTCAGGAATTTTGCAAAAAAACAAATATATACATACCGTAGGTGTGTAATCCTCTAACTGCAGTAAAAAGTCAGCCAACGGTTGTCCCGCAGTCTTGTTTTCCTCGTTATAATTCGGTGGCGTTTCTCTTCCAAAATTCTCTGCCATTTCTTATATATATATATGTGCAAAATTAACACTGTTATAAATTCCTAATCTCAAAGGTTTGGTTTGATGCGCTTGTGGCTCTTGGACCTTTAACCTCAGAGTAATCGCACACTCCGGTAATTTTGTGAAAACTGACACATCCTCTTATCCGATTCGTAAACACTCGACAGCTGCGACGTGTTTTCGATACGATGAACTACGTAACCGTGCTACCAAATCAAATCGGTCGATAAAATCAAATCAAATATCTGGTTTAGAGTTTTGACTACATGTCAAGTTACATAGTCAAAGGCGCGTTCTGCCGCGCGCGCAATATCGATTCTCGAAATATCGCGCGCTTCGATACATTTGAGATCACGAAGATAGTTGTGGCGGGCGCGCGACGCGAAGCAGAACTTCTCTCAAATTCGTTCCGTATTTCTCGCGATTGTTGTTGTTTCTCACGCGAATATCGGTAGCACGTGTGTGTCGCAAAGTGTCGAGCGTTCGCAGTGATACGTAATTAGTGTCGCGCGCTCACCGATGATGCTAATTGGCGAATATATGATGAAGTTGTTTCGCGGCCGTTCGCGCTTTCGCGAGACGAAACAAAATGGCCAATCGCGCGACGCGAAGCAAAGATACGTTCGACTTGTTTCTTAATTTTTCGCGATTATTATCATTTCACGCACAAATATCGCTAGCACGTGTGTGTCGTAATGTATCGGACGTTCGCAGTGACGTATAATTAGTGTCGCGCGCTCGCGAGTAAACGTGTTAATCGGCGAGTTTTTGTAGCTTCTGTAAAGACGCGCGCAGAAACAAAATATCGGGTACGCGCGTGCTGCGTCTACATGATGTGTGTTTAAAAAACAACAACATAACAAAGAACGATGCAAAAACTGTCCAACATATTACAGTAGCTATAAAAAAGATGATTGTAGCAAGCAGCATTGGTGCACCTGCACTGGAGAAGTTTTTCGAGCAATCGAGCGCTGGCACTCGAAGGTAAATTTACAACTCTTACAACTCTTGTTTATTTACTAAAGTTATGTATTTTGAAAGTTTTACGATTGATGTTTACAAGTATGTGTTTTTCTTGTATATATTTTACTAATCAAAAAAATGTTTTGTCACAGAATGCTGTTGTAACGGAAGATGTTGGTGCACCTGCAGAAAGAAAACGCGGAAAAGTCGTTTCGGCAATTGGGTGCTGGCACGAGGGTTGCAGAGGAAGATGCATCGATGGATAACGAAGGGACCGCACAAACATGAGTCACAAAATTAAAGTTTATTACTTGTTCCTTTTAGCTACAACTTTTTTTTTATCTACATTATAAATGTCACACGCGTACTTGTACGATTATCAAAGTAAATTATAGAATACAAATTTTTACTTATTTCCTACGAGATTTTATTATTTTTCTTTAATGCGCTAAATCTATATATAAAGAATTCTCTCTCGTACATGCAATTTATACAAATAGAATACATTATATGTTCTCAATAATATAGTTGAAAGGAACAATTTTGTTATATTGCATGCGTAGTTTGCTTATATCAATCGCACTGATTTCTAATATTGCAAAAGAAGACAATCATGTATCGTGGCATGATTTTCTTTACTCGCTGTATTTATACAATTATGGTGGTGGAACATATAAATCGTAAACATAACAGAATATAGAAGCAAAACAATTCCGTGCATACAGCACGGAACAGAACCAGAACAACGTGAGTACAGTTACGTGTACAAAAACGTGTACATTGCGGCGCTTGAGTAGAAAATATACATGTAAAACACGTTCATGGCCGCTCTCAAGCTTCCCTCTGATCTAAAATCGCTCGTTTACTTACGATTGGTTGATCTTCATATTTTTTTTTATTTTTTTGTTTTTCGCACAAGTGACTTCACTCTTAGGAGATGTATCATAATAAAAAAATACATGTTTATACACAATGAACAAAGGAAGTGGATGAAATACATATGATGTAACTTAACTTATTGATTTCTTTATTACAAAGGAACTATAGAAAGAAATACACAATAGCTGTACAAATAGCACAAGAGACAGTCAAACTTTCACCAGAATCATTCACTCATGTTCAAATATCGTATATTAATGAATCTCTAGTCTAAAAGCTTAGTTTTTTCTTTTGTTGAACATTGAATAAAAGGCACTGGCAAGAATTGCTTCTCTTGTTCTCTTTAATATATACGCCTCTATATTTTCTTTTTCGTATCAATGTGTATGAACAAAATTTTATATTTTGGCAAAATTTAAAAATCTACCTACTCTTAAACGTAACATTGAGGAGTCACACTCCTTCATTTGTTTTAAACTATATTTTACATCTTTTACACTGAACACACCTTTAAGTATCGAAATAATCATTACGCGCGCGAATAAACAACATTATGCAAAAAGTGAAAAGGAAATTTTCTTCTTTTCAAGTCGTGTTTATCTGTCAAAAAATATGTTACATGTAAATTACATATATTTTAGTGTGCTCAGCGTTTGTGTGTACAGGATGTAGCAGGACAAATGGTATATCTGAGAAAAAGATTCTGTGTGAAAAAATTTCTTCAAAAACTAAGCTTTTCACGCACGAAAAACTTTTATTCTACATTTTTAACTTATTATTGTTTTTATGTTGAATCACCTTTCTAGTTCTATCGTGCATTTGTCTTGCCGCAATTCTGTATAAATCTTGTAAAAGTTTTCATAACAAATATATCTCGCTTGCTAATATGTGTGAACCTAATTATATTAAGAGACACATATAGTAGTTAAAGTCGTCACGATTTCATTCATCCTCGACTGGAAACTGTACAGAAAACATAAAGCATATTTCAGGTTTGGTCGCTATGTAATCGATATCATTTACGCGCGAAAGTTCTGAAAGTTTATATCGAAGAATATATGTACAAAATTATCTTATGTTATGCTGTGCCTGCTGCGGCTCAGCGATTTGTTCTCCATTGTGAACCGGTTGTGTCAACGTGTTCTGAAACCACATCATCCAGTTGCTCAGATAATGGCTATCCAATTGATTTTCAGGATTGTCTTTTATCTGCACATCGTTTAATTCTTGAAAGTTGCGAACGGTTCGGAGTTCCGTGAAATTATTGTTCATTGTATGGTTCCCATGCATCCTTACCTCCCTCTTTCTGAGGGCGTCCTTTACTAACCTTTGTTTGCGCTCCTCCTCCGTCTCGATAGCGGACCTGGTGAACCTCATTTCCCTGGCCCTCAAAGCGTCCCGTCGCAATCTCTGCTTCCTCTCCTCTTCCGTTTCCTTGGCGTACTGATTCAGTCGGGCCTCTCGTCGTTTCGCTGACTCTTTGTTCAGTCTTTCCCTCCTCTGTTCCGGCGTCTCGCTCGCATACAACGACAGTCTCTTGATTCTTCTTCTCTCGGCCTCGCGGTCCAACCTTTTCCTTCTGTCCTCCGGCGTTTCGTTGTACATCCTGTATTCCCTTTTCCGCGCTGCTTCAGCGTCGAGCCTCTTCCTCCGTTGCTCCGGTGTTTCGTAATACATTCTCATCTCGCGCCTCTTCGCCGCTTCCTTTGCCAATCTCTGCAGACGTTCCTCCTCGCTCTCCTGCTCGTACAACTTCTTCCGTTTCTCTCTCATACACTCAGCCTTTTTCCTCAATTTTTCTCTGTAATCTTGATGCGCGCTCTTCAGTCTGACATGCTTCTTCGACTTTCTAGCTTTAGGTTTCTCCTGCTCTTGAGTGTCTTTACCGTCTGTCAATTGACTCCTGCGTTTCACGCCGGCGTCATCGACAGAACTTTGCATATTCTGCTTGGCATCTTTCAGGATCCTCAATCGCACGCTATCGTTACTGCTATCGCACAACCATTCCGTAGTGTACAGCGCGTCGTGATCTTCTCCATCCTCCTTCTTTATGTTGATATTCAGCCCGTCCAAGAACTCATTTGGTATCGTTACTGCGGACACATTGTAACTGTTCGTCTGTATCTGCTCGACGTTTCGAATGAAAACTTCCGTTGTGTTCGATTGCTTTGGGAATTCAATATTGATGGAGTCAGAATCTAAACTATCCAAGTAAATAGGATCAGTTAATACATTGGCAATGGCACTGCTCTCCGTGTATTGTATATTTCCTAAAGTGGAATCCGAAATATTCGACTTGCTCCCTTCATTGTCCTCACTGTCAGTTGTTTTCTCATTAATTTGATTAGGATTTTTGGTCTCCTTAATCTCGATAGCACAAAAATGCTGCGCCGCTGTAATTATCTCAACCTCATTGAGATCTGTCTCACATTCATCGTTTCCCTGCTTGTTGTATATAGAGATCAAGTCTGTTGATTGGATCTTTACTTGCACATCGTCTTCAGATATGTCCATATCCTTGTGCGGACTGGATTGTGAGAGCTAAAACATTACACAATTACATAAAATAAAACATATATGAAATTCTACTCTATATAAAAGAGTTGCTTCAGCACATTTTTTAACATATAACGGTTTTTCTATATTTTTGTAACACTGAAGACTATGTGTAACGTATAGGGACCTTCATTTCTCTTGTGACAAAAAATATAAAAGAGTGAGAAAGACGATTAGTAATAAGAAAAATAGTAAAAACCGACAAATTTTAATCATTATCTTGTTCGAATGCACAGGATAATTATAGATTAAAAAAAAAAACCCAGCTGTCAGGCAAACTATATTCCATACCTGCGTATCGTCTGCTTGACAGCTGATTTAAGATGGCAGCGGATATGGCACTTGGAGAAAAAGAAAGAGGATAGTCAAGTGTTTTTTCAATATCTGCCGACACCACTCTCGACACGCTTGTCATTTTTGTTCTCATGTCACATGGCAATGCTGACAAATCGCGCGTTTACGTAGCGTCCATCGAGTTAATTACGAATTTGCCCGAAATCCATCCGAATGTCGAGCGCAGCTCGGCCATCCACGTCCCTTTCGTCATTGCTAAAGCAAACGTACTAGAAAGCAAACTCTACAATAAAAATTAGATTTTATTCAAGCTAAGTTTTTATATTTTTGTCCTACATTTAAGAAAGAATAAAGATAGAATGATGTTTTTACGACAAAAGCGTGTGTTGTGCACGACTTTATTATTTTTTAATACAATAAAATTACGCTAAGCAGAGGAAAATCTGAGGAAAAGAGTCAAATCGTATAACACGGAATAGAACCAAACTAAATCGTGAACGTGACGTATTTTATCCGATGGTTCACGGCTATAGTAGTTCACGAAATGTGCACATTGCGGCGCTCGAGAACGGGAAATGTTTTCGATATAATAATCGATTGTTGGAGACGAAATTTCTATTTGCGAAAAATATCACAAAACTCTCTTTTTCTCTTATTAATTTTATATACATATATATTATAATATATAAAACAATTAAATATATATAATAATATGATATAATATTATATTGTATTATATATATACATCAACCTCTTTTAACATATTGATATCTTCTATTTGCAAACGCACTTTTGATTTAAAATTTAATTTTGCGACGTACTTTTGCTTGACTCGACAATTTGTCAACATGGTTATAAAGTTATTTGACATTTCTCAGTGACGGAAGATTCATCTTCACGCAGCTTCCATTATGCGTGTAAATACGCACATAAGAGATTTAAAAATAATCATTTGATATATTCTCGAATACCAATAAACATACCGATAAATCTCTCGTCCGCCAACTAATATACGCGCACACAAATGCGCGCTCGCATTTTTATGCTCGTATTTTTTTGCCTGTGTGTCCGCGAGCCGTGTGCCTCTTCCAGAAACACAATCCTCAATCATATACCATTAATTACCGACGCGATGCATAACGATTAGCTTTTTCCGGACCATTGCCGTCGCCAAAACGCATATCCGAACTGCCGCATCACGCGCGCGCGCACACACGTCACTAAACGTCAACTCTAAATGGAAACGTCTTAATTATCGGAGCACGTAGTATCGAGGGGAGGACGGGATGCACCCAGGCGCGTCCGCAAAAACCGGACTGTGAACGAACAACCGAGAACCCCGGGACAATAAGACGAGCTTATATACGGAGGGCGAGCGTTTGTGCCGCTATATAAGTATATCAGACTGTTTCTCGTTTCCCGTCACCAAAAGCGAAGACCTTTATCGTCGCGGCGCAAAGAAATGTCCCGCGAAGACACGATATACGCCAATAAATCGCCAAAGGATCCACTATGTCGGCTTAGCTAATTAGACCGATCATTAAAACGACTCCGTACATATAGTGTATACACACCAATTGAATAATGCGCTAAAATTTCAGAGATTTTATGAGTATTTTAACGATGCAAGGGGAGAAAACGTATAAAGGTGTTTTAAGGTGTCAAGTAAAGCAGACGCGTAATGTATAGGGTACGAACACAGAATTTATTTGCGATCGCAGCAATTAAACGAATTCGATGCGCACGTTTCGTGAACTTGAATGAGGAGTCGACCGGTCGCTGCAGAATGCTGCAATGATTCTTTTTTTTCTTACAACCGCTTGACGAAATCATTAGCGAACTAAATCCAATAAGGGGATCCAGTCATCCGCAAGATGTAAAAAATCATTCCTGCCGAAGCGGTCGGCAGCATCGTAATCGACATTAATATGTGTGCGTGCGCATATTTTCTTGATATATAACATGTATTTTGAAATATAACTTTTTACTAATGGATATTGTATATAAAGTTTAATATTTTTATCTCTATATTTATATTTTTTTTTTATCCGTTTATTTCAACTTCATGGAACACAAGCGCTGTTTTATACGCCAGAATTCTTTCGTCGCGCGTTCTTTCACGGCCGCAAGTTCTTTTCGCCAATTGCATTTTAATCGCGTTCCCGGGGCGAGAGATCGTCGACGCGCGTAAATCGCGAATCGCGCTCGCACACTCGGCGGAAACTGGAACGAATGGCGGAGGTAGAACAAACGAACAACACGCACACATATACCTACGCGCAGAAACACTCCGTGAGGAGAGAGAGATACGAGGGACCCGGCAAAACACACAGAATCGCTCGTTCCGCGCGGAAAGAAAAAGCCACGGCGAGTATAATGGATATCTTTATTATCGGAGTCGCGAGTCGGGGTCCCGAGACTTTGCGAGACTCTCCGCAAGCGAAGTTCTCAACCACGATGATCACAACGATGACGTCTCGATCCCGTTCCGGAGCAAGCTCGGGGCCCAATTGGTCCCGCTGGCCCCCCTCGCGACATAAATATTGATGAAAACGATGCGTTTATACGCGAACGACAAGTCCGTCCGCGGTTAAAAAGCCGGGAGATTTATCGGGACGCGATCTGCCGACGACAGCCATTTCCGAACGGATCGTACATCAAGCCGCGCTCGGTCCCGAGATCGCACAGATCGGTTTCCGCGTGTCCCCGAAGTGGTCCGGAGGCGGCGGCGCGGGCCTCGCTTTTACGTCAGGCAAATCGCGAGTCTTACTACGTGTATCTTTTTACACTTATTTCCGAGAGAGATCTATTCTAATCAATACAATATGTCTCGCCCGGGGCGCGCGTGTGTCTCTTTCGGACTTTTGTTACAAACCGGTTTAGAATACGGGTTGCGAAAAAATCACCAGTTTTAATCGCCTATCGCTCGAAACCGAGCTTGTGGCATTGTCCCTCGCACACCGCAACATCGACGATAACTGCCCGAACCTCCGATTTAACAATTTGAATTCGAATGACATAAGAATCCTTTTCAATTATTTCTTCGCAAACTTCAATCTTTGTTTCGCAGTTTTTTGCGAGTGTTCGATCGCGAACATTTCGTGCCCCCGTAGACTTCAACTATTGTACCGTCGTCACCGCAACTTCGTACAATTATTGGAACGTAGACGAGTCAATACTCACAAAAAACCTTCTCTAAAAATCGCTCAAAGATGGGGCTTCGCACATTCTAAGCGCGCCGGCGTATCACGACACAACGGGCTCCCGAGAAAAGATTTCGCCTCATCACCTCAGAGAGCTGTGCAAACTTCTCTTGGTAAACGGCGTTCTCTCCTCATCCCGCACGTTTCTGTTCCCTTCTCTCTCTCCCGTCTGTTCTTCTTTCTCCGTAGCAGATCTCCGATTTTACAGACAGTGTCGACAATGGGTAACTCATCTGAATTTATAATGAATGCTAGTAATTCAATTTTTTGGTGTGGCGCACAAATTGGAGGCTGCGCTCAGGCCGAGCTCCGGACCAATTGGCGGAAGACCAAGAAGAGGGCATAGTCGACGACAACAGTGAATAGAAAGGGGCGCGCCGATCGCTGAAAAGAATCACTCGTATCGCTTATACATCGCTCGTGAGCGTTTCCATTTTTCTGCCAGCTTTCTGCGGCAGAAATGCTTCTCTCTCGTCCCTCCTCCTCGCCTCGCGTCCATCATCTATTTCATTTCAACGAGCACGCTTCCTTTTCATCCTGGTCGTCGCTACTCTCTTTTCGCTCCGTCACAATACCGCTCGGTATTAGAAGAGAATAATAATATGGCAGTATCACTCGACACCCCAAACTAAGGGCAACTAAGAAGAATCTCTTTCTTTTTCTCTTTCTCTCTTAGGACTCTTCTCTCTCTATCTCTTTGCTTCTTTCCTCTCTTTTTTGTTTTCTTTTGTTTTTTTTATCTTTGTCCTCGCGCCGCTCGCGAGATCCGTCGTCATCGGCTCTCTCACGCCTCGTCGTTCCTTTTTCGGTCTCGTCACGCGTCCCGCGTGCGGTTTTCGTTCCTCCTTGTATTTGGCCGACCGTCGTCACGTGGTTTTCGGAGATAATTCCCGATACACACGACACACAAGATAGCCGCCGATATAATTTCCGACGCGGCATTTTATTACGCCGCGCGCCTCCTCTCATCGCGCTGTCTGCACGTCTCGCTTCCTCCCGTTTCGCGACGTCACATTTTGTTTGTTTAAGGCCGCCGCGCGCAACAGACAGCCGCCGTTCGATCGAGCGTGTCTCGGACGGATTAGAGTTTCAGCTAGCTCCTCTTCTTTTCTCGGCGAATTTGTGTGTGATTAGAGAGAGAGAGAGAGAGAGATCGTCTCGCGTGCTACGAATGGGTGTTGCACTATGAAAGCGCGCGCACATGCGGGAGCACGTGTCTAAACTACCGCATGCGTTACACATTGTTAAATTGTATAAGCACTGAAGTTAGCGCGCTACATAATTTACGGTTTCGCGCACGCATCGCAGCTTCCGAGGAGAAAGCTTGTACATGATGCACAGAGCATGGTTACATGCGCGTGTCAGCGACAGAGGATTTCACTGTGTATCATTAGGTTTACGTGCAATTGCGCGAAGATGTAAGAAGAGATGTCGCGCGAGTTTGAACTTTGATTTTTCGCTCTAAAAAAGCTTTTCAAACCAAAAGCGTTTAATTTTTTTTCTCGGTTTTCTTTTATGATTCTCTTTGCGCGCGTCAAACGGAGCTTCGTTTAGAAACGGAAAAAGTCCGGGGATTACAACGGACGCAAACTAATGCACGCGCGCGAAATGCGCCTAATTCGTTCTGCCGCTTTGAAAAATAATCGCACGAGAATCCTTTATCGCGAACAAAAGCGCGCGCGCGATAAAGGATTCGCGTGCGAAGCGTTATTCCTCGCAACGCGGCAAATCTGGTTTTATGCTCATCGCAGCGCGCCGACCGCACAGGCATACGTATTAATTTATTCCAACGTGCGTGCATTTCTCTTCTCTTTCAGCGCGGGTCACATTGTGGTGGCTCGCGGTTAGATAATAACGCGCCGGCGGTTGTAAATTATGCCAAAACCGATCTGGAAAATAGATGGGGCTGTTCGATAGTTCTGAGATCGCGAAAATCGCAAAAACCGTTCTTCGGGAAAATAATAAAAGAACGCGTTGAAAAAAAATCTAACGACGGACTTCTACGAAGTAATGTTTTTACAAAGGGATAACGAATGATAATGAGAAG